CCCAACAGCCAGAGTTAGGAGAGGCCAGGATGACCCTCTGACCCAGGCTTCAGAGGAGGCATGGCCTTGTGACACCTCAATTTGGGGCTTCCAGCCTCAGATTGGTGAGAGACGGAGTTTCTGATGCTCTCAGCCCCCAGTGCGTGGTGCTGTTGCAGTAGTCCCCGGACACTGCTGTGGATGGGAACTAGCTGAAGGTCTTCGGGAAAGAGAGAAAGAACCGAGGTCTGTGCTGCCCTGTTCCACCCCAGCTCCCGCAGCGTCCGCTGAGCTTGCCAGGCAGGAAGAGAGTGAGCAGCTGCAGGAGGCCCCGTGTGGACACACGGCTTTCTAGGCTACCATCTTGCCTGTGTTGCTAGACACTGTATTTTGGGACATCGGCCTGCTGCAGCCCCCGGACACTGAGTGAACACCAGCTGTGCCCAGAACACACAGGGTCACTCAAGGCATCCCGTTGGCTGTGGTTTTGATGCACACGGGTTCTCTACGTCCCTCCACTTCACAGGTGGCGTCTGACTCTGCCAGCACAGGCTCTTCCCTGGGGGGCACTCCTGACACAGAGAATGTGTGGGACTCTGCCCGAGAGGAGTTCATGCAGCTGTCCCCGTCCCTCTCTAACGGCTCGCCCTAGGGGGCCAGCGGTCATGGGCTGAGGATGCCCACGCAGCCCTGGGAGGACCTGAGGTCGCCTGCTGACTCTGTGTGAGTGAGTTGACTTGAGGACCCTCCACCCCAGTCTGGCCCTGGCGGGACCAGAGCCTCAGCCAATGTCCCAACTGCAACCTTGGGGGAGTCCCTGAGCCAGACAGCCCAGCTCCTGAAGTGGTGAGACGCTGCTGCTTCAGGTCACTTGTGACACACTGCGGATAGCTAATACAGGATTGGCTCCCCAGAAGGACTCCCATCTTTGTTTTTTGTTGTTGTGGTTGTTAAGAAAAGCATGATCTGTCTGTGAAGGATTCCCCATCCTTGCCTGAAGTCAGAGGCTCCATGCGGTGACTGTTACAAATGCCATCTGCCCCGTAATGCCTGCTTGGGTCCCCTAAGAGTTGAGAAGCCTGGCCTGTGATCAGCTTGGTCCTCTGGAAATGCCAGGCTGTGTTTCTGTATGTGGCATGTGTCTGTACACCCAGAAGAGCAGCACACAGAACTCACGCCTCATAAAAATACGCTCAACACACTCGCTTTCTCTCCTTTCTTCCGGCTGTTCCTCTTACTGGTTTCCAAGGTCTCTGTCTCCTGGGCGGCTGTGTGTCCCGGATTCTGACTTTCTCACCTCTCCCTGGGCAGGGGAAGGAGGAAATACGGTGAGAGATCCTTGGAGCCTGGGGGAGTATGGCTGCCCCCGGAGAGGTCGGTGAGTGTGGGGGAGAGGTGAGGGGTCTCTCTGGATCCTGGGGAGCAGGCACCACCTATCTGGGACCTGGACCTGAGGCCCATGTGGATGCCTGAGCATAGCCTGCTTGGACATCTAACAAACGTGCCTGCTCCCTAGCAGAGGGGTCCCTACTGGGCACCCCAAGTGGCTGTTTGGGCCTTATGGTACAGGCAGGCCACCAGTGTGACTCAGGATGTCTGCTTAGTCTCTTTGCCACTCTAGGTCTCCACCTCCGGGCCGGATTTGTGTCTGTGAATGATCAACTGCCCAGTGGGGGCCACAGAGCCACGGGGTGCACCCCAGCGGCCTGCTTAGACCGCTAGGACCCACTCCACATCTGAGCAAGACCCACAGGGCACGCAGTGAGAAGGACAAGCCTCAGATGTCAGACCCTCATGTGTCCTCCAAAGCAGCAGCCTGAGGCCTGGAGCCCAGGCCAGCAGGAGCGCCCGGCCCTGGGGAGAGCTGAGCGTGGGCCCCACCTGCCCCCTCCCTCACACCCCCACTGTCTCCTGGTGTTCCAGAAAGGAAAACAGACTTGTGTGTCATATACACACTCATTCCTCAAGGCCTCCATCAGCATTAGAACTACCGGCAGTTGTGGTAAGAACACACGTGACAACTGGCTTCAGTCCAGAGCTCTGTGTGTCACATACCTGCACTGGCCGGGAGTAGCCCTTCAGCCCGTTCTGACCCACAGATGCAGAATGCTCGCGGGGATGGTTCAGCCACTTCTTACACACAGGTTTCGGGTTTTTGTCTTTAATCATTCATTTGATTTCATTGAAGTTCACTTTCACTACGTGGATGAGATGGGTACATATCACACTAGGCTTCCACTATGAGAGAGCTGCCACTGCAGAGAGAAATCCAGCCCTCCGCTCTCTTTCCATGTCCCTTTCTGAGTCCCGCAGGAACCACGTGGGGGACAGTGGGGTTCCAATCCTGGCTTGTCATTCCCCCGGAGACTGTGGGTGGGACAGGGAGAGTGGGCATGGGTCCCTGCCTCCCCCAAAGCCTGTTGTAGCGGCCAGCGCCCAGCTGTGCTTTCTGGCTGGGCCCTGGCAGTCCACCAGCATGGGCTTCCATAGGATGGAGGCTGGGGGCACCGGGGGGGGGGGGCGGCCACCCACCTGGCTTCTAAAGCCCTGGCTCTGGGTCCTTGCAGTCTGTCCCTCATGCTTCCCACCCAGAGGACGGTCAGCAGGGACCCTGCCCTCAGTCCTCAGCTGTGGAGTGGGGCTGCCACAGAGGATGGGGCACAAGGACTGGACACCACCCTCATGGGCAGCAGGTGACAGTCCTCAAAGGCCAGCACTGGGAATCTGGAGAGTGCCCTAGTCTGACGGAGGAAAAGGAGCCCAGTCCGGAAAGGTGTTGGCAGGAAAGGCCTAGTGCCAGAGAGGGCCACAGGTCAAGAACGTCAAGGAGGGACTAGGTAGAAGGTGGCTTGGGAACCCCGCCCCCCACCATCTGAGGCAGCTGGTCCCCTACGCCCCCCGGCCCCCACCATCTGCTCCCTGAGGGGCGCTTGCAGCTACCGCTCACTCAGACCTAGCCACACCTGTCCAGAGCTGAGCCTGAAAGCCCCATGGCCCAGAGCATCATGGGAGCATTTTTTTTTTTTTACCAGGGTTAGGGCACACAAAAGGACCAAGACTCCAAAGAGCTCTAAAGACAGGGTCCTCCAAGGATCCGTAAATTCTACGGGGAGGAGAGGAATGGTGATGGAGGAGGGCCTTCCTCACACCAGTACTGGGCCAGAGGCTCTTAGAAGGTGAGCACTCCTGGGAGGAGGGTCCACCAAGGAGTGTCTGTGCAGCCCACAACCCTCTAGACCATGGCCACTGGCTCATGGGTCCCTGGTGGAGAATGCCCGCTCCCCTGAAGACTCTGGCTGGGCCACATCCCACCCTCCCACTCCCCACTCCAGCCACAGGCAATGACTAAACCTCCCAGGCTGGTCCAAGCTGCCCACTGCAGGCCAGGTGGTCTCAGAGGACCCCTACGCACTAATTCCAAAGCATTCCACTGCACAGGTGGCTCCCACGACTGACCCAGAGGGCTTTCCTTCTTCCCCCGCCTGCTCCCACCGAGGGCCCGGCAGGCGGTGTCACCTCAGCCTGTCAGCGGCAGGGAGCCGGCTCAGAGGACATGCCCGAAGTGCAAGGTGCTCACAGGACAAGCCAGCATAAGGACCCACACGTTCCTGCTACCACCACGGGATTTATTGAGGCTGTCACCACATCTAAGAGGGCCACCAACAGGGGACCCAGCCACTGCCTGGCCTGGTGCCTGAACCGAGGGACTGTGTGCCACGCCGTGGTGGCTCCTTGATGGAGAGCCTGTGCAGGACTGGACAGCTCGGAGCGGAAAGAGAAGCAGGAGCTGGGAGTGCAGGGGAGGGAGGGAGGGTGCAGGGACAAAAGTTGTATCTAGACGAAGTAGGACAAGACGAAACCAGAGCCCGCATGTGCTGATGTCGCCTCTCAGGATCCAGGCGCCTGTGGCCCACAGCCCCTTAGCCAGACATCTCCTCTCGCTGTTCCTTGTTCCTGCGTACCTCCGCTGCGTGCAGCTCCTGCGAGGACCAGTAGGGGTGGGTAGGCGGGGCCCTGCGTACGCGGAGCCGCCGGGGGCGGGGGGAGAGGGGCTGGCCTTTCCCCCACACCCAGGCTTCAGGGACCCTCCTAAGTGCGACCCACGAGGACACCTTAACGACCAGGACGGAGGAGCAACAGAGAGCAGGGGGAGACCCACGTCCTCCCCTCATAGCGCGTCCTGAGTGCGGAGGCCGCCCCCAGTGCGGCAGGGGTCGCACCCAGACCAGAGGGAGAGCCGTGACTCCGGGGAGCTTCCTCGGGCAAGCTCTGGGTGCCCCGCCCCCGCCCCACCGGCACCAGCCTGGTCCCTCCCGGTGGGCTGCAGCCGAGGCCACGCCGAGGGGGCTCCGGCCGGGGCGGGGCCTCGCCTCACTCAGGGCTGCTCCCCGCAGGACCGGGAGCGGCCGGGCTGTTGGCGCGGGGGGAGGGCCCGCCAAGGAGGGGACTCCTAGGGCTGCCCTGGCCCCCCGCCTAACGCAGCGCCTCCCCTGTTCTAGCGCCGACCCGCGTCTTTTGGGGCACTTCTGAAGCAGCGGCTCCCGGCCGTGTCCCCCCCCACGGGACTGGACCCGGGCCTCCGGCGAGGCCCGAGGCGTCCAGCAGAGGCAGGCGGAGGCCCTCCTTCCTGCTGCCCGGGCACCGCCCCCCTGCATGAAGCCCCGCCCCTCGGGAACCGCCCCTCGGCCTTCGCCCCGCCCCTCCCCCATTCCGGGCGCGCACGCACCTTCTCGCGCAGCCGCTCGCGCAGCGCCGCCAGGTGCGCCTCGCGGATCTCCTTGCTGAGCTCCATCTTGTAGTTGAGCTTCTCCTCGGCCTGGCGGCTGAAGTTGTTGTTCTCCTCCAGCGCCTTGTGCAGCACCTCGCGCTCGTGCTCGCGCCGCTCCGCCAACTGCTTCAGCACCTGCGCCTCCTGCGTCTGCGCGGGCGGACGGGGGCGCGCGTGGGCGGCGGCCGGGCCCCGGTCCCCGGGCCCCGGCCCCCTGCCCCCTGCCCCCGGTCCCCGGCCCCCTGCCCCCAGCCCCCGGCCGGCCCGGCCTCCCCGCGCGCGGTCAGGGCTCCGCCCAGTGCCCGTCACCCTGCCCTGCTGCCCGCCGGACGCGCGCCCTCCGGGAGCTCAGGTCTCCACGGCCCCGCCGACGGCCAGGGTGTTCACCGGGTCTCGGTTTGCCTGGACTTCTGGCCTTCGGCCCCGCAAGATCCGCGGGCGCGCCCGGAGAACCCCCAGCCCCAGACACACCGGAAGCTGCTCACCCTTTCCGTCCGTCCTCGGCCGGCGGAGCCGACCCTCCTGCTAGGCGGAGGGCGCCCGGCAGCGAGACAGGCTCTCGCCGCCCCGCCCCCCAAGCCCGGGGTGCGCTCAGGGAATGTTGGAGGAGCAAATTCAAAACTTAGGGGCCGTCACGGAACCCGCACGGCCTCCTCCTCGAACGTCTGCCCGCTGAGCACAAAGTAGGTGCTTGATCCGCACTGGGTCCTGAGTTCCCTGAGGTGTGGGGGCGGTGGGAGGGTCCCCAGGGCTGCTGGAGCGAAGAGACTGGGACAGCCGGTGCTGCTGCACTGCCCACCCTACTGGAGGAGGGGGCGCCTGGAGCCTGGGGGAGAGGTGCGGGTCACAGCGCAAGGGCTGTCCCCTCCTGCAGAAGGCTGCTGGGCCCACCCACATGCCAGTCACTGCTAGTTAACCCTAGGAGGCCTGGGTCGCCAGATTTCACTGGGACATGCTCTAAGGGATTTGGGGCCAGTACCCCTGCCCAGTGGGCTTGGACACCAGGACTACATGCTGACAGTATTTTGTGTGTCCGTCTCCATGGGGCTGGTGTGAGGGGAAGGGACAGGGAGGGACCCTTCGGCCATGCCCCCCTTCTCCCAGGGGCCCTCTGAGCTCCCTGCAGGTGTGGGCTTGCAGCCCTCAACACATGAGAGTCCCTTTCTTCTCTACCCTGGAGATGGATGACAGCCCAGACTCACGTCCCAGGACCCCTTCTTGGCCATGGCCAAGGACACCCCCTCCAACAGTATCTGGTTCCTGTCCTCTCCAGCTGGCTGCCTTTGGGAACCTTTCACCTTCCTGTCCCTTCTGATCCCCCAAGTGGAGGTCCAGGGGAGCCATGACGCCCTCTCCACTCCGGGCCAACAGCCAAGCAGAGGCTTGGAGCATCCTGTGCCTTGGGAACCCTGTCTGTGCCAGTGACGCCTTCTGCCCAGCCACCTTGATCAGGATCTGGGGCCGGGGGGGCCCTCACCTTCCTTCGTTCCTCAGCTGCTTCCAGCCGCTTCTGCAGCTCCTCCAGGGAGGTGTCCTTCCTCTTGGGGGGAGAGGAGAGCACTGGGCTCTCGGGGGACAGGTCAGAAGGGGACTTGAGGATGACCTCGAAGCTCTGGCCAGAGGCCCTCTTGTCCAGCTGCTTCACCTCCATGTCTGCAAGACCAGATGGGGCCTCAGGATTCTGAGGGGCCATGTTCCCAGTACACATCCAAATTGAGGGCTAAGGGAGGGAGCACGGCTGCTCATGTGGGACCCCCAGGCCTGAGCCCCCAAGTTTGCCTCTCATCAGAGGCTCCCTCTCCAGAAGCCAGCTGAGCTGAGGTGGGGGCGGGGTGGGTTGGAGAAGCCATGGGAGCAAAGAGCAAGGAAAGGAGGAGGCAGGCACTGACCAAGCAGGAGCGGACAGCAGCCCAGGGCACACTCACCCCCATACTGGTAGATGGTGTTGGGGTGCGGCTGTGAGTAGAAACAGGAGCAGATGAGTGACAGCACTGACAGTTCCTTCATCTTCTCCTTGTAGGCTGTGGGCATGAGGCTAGCATGAGAGGGCGCCATGGCCGCCTCCAGACCTTGCCTGCGTGGCTGCCTCCCTCTTTTCCTCCCCAGTACGCCCCCATGCTGTGCCTCTCTGGAAGCCTGTGTATCTTGCTCCCTTTTCTGTTCTCTTGCCTCTCTACATCTCTCCTCTCCCTGTCCTAGAAGCTGACTTTGTCCCTGGCCACACCTTCCTGTGGGTTGTCCTGCATTGTTCTCCTAGTACCCCCCCTTCTCCTCTTTTTTCTCTCTCTCTTTTAAAGATTTTATTTATTTGACAGACAGAGGTCACAAGCAGGCAGAGAGGCAGGCAGAGAGAGGGAGAAGCAGGCTCCCTGCTGAGCAAAGAGCCCGATGCGGGGCTCGATCCCAGGACCCTGAGATCATGACCTGAGCTGAAGGCAGAGGCTTCACCCACTGGGCCACCAGGCGCCCCTGCCACCTTTCCTCTCTTGGCACTTCTATCTCATTCCTCTACATCGCTGTGTGTTTGTCTGTCTCTGTTCATCCTCCTGTCTTCCTGGCTCGGTTCTCTCTCTCTCTCTCTCTTTCCATGTCTCTGTGACCCTTTGTCACTGTGCATTTTCCTGACCCACCCTCCCTGGCCCTCCCAGTACTTCTCCCTCCTTCCTCCACTTTCCCTCTCGCAGATATTAACCAGCACACTCACGACTGGGCCAGCACAGATGCACGCAGCCCTTGGTCTGTACACTTGGGTGAAGCCATCACACTCCTCCTGTGTGGCGTCCCCCCCCCACCGCCATCTACCCTGATAGCAGCATTGCACCTATCCCAGGTCAAACCTGGCAGTCACCAGGCACACACTTGCTGTCCCTCTAGAGCCAAAGGGTGGGGAGCTGTCCGTTCAGCACCAAAGCCCGCCCTCTAGCCTTGCAGAGTCCCCACAACAGGTGCCCCCTGGTGCCCAACCAGAAAAGGAGGTAAGCTTGTCTGCTGAGGCCGTGAGCCCTGTCAGGTGAAGGGGAGAAGCCCACTGTCAGAATCGCAGTAACTGAGCTATTTGTGGTCTACTCATGAAAAGCCAGGTCCCTAGGTAGACACGCTGGCCCAGTGTCTCACTAATGTTTAACAGTCTTCAAGCCCAAGACCGTCCCTAGGCTCCACTGAGATGACACTGGGCCCAAGTGGCCGGGGTGACTTGCCCAAAGCCCCTCAAGTGGAATCCCAGGTGGTCTGTGTGCTTTACACCACTCCAACATGTCCTGGAGACTAGGAGACTCAAGGACCCATTCTCCCGCCTCCCTAGCTGGAGAAGCTGGTACAGATCTCCAGAGGGACACTCCAGAGAGGGAGTCTGGCTTCCATGAAGTGGTCTTCCAAGGAGTAGACATGAATTCGGGCAAGAAAGTTCCTCATTGGGGCACCTGGGTGGCTCAATCAGTAAAGCATCTTCCTTCAGCTCAGGTTGTGATCCTGGGGTCCTGGGATAGAGTTGCACATTGGGCTCCCTGCTCAGCGGGGAGTCTGCTTCTCCCTCTCCCTCTGCTGCTTCCACCCCACCCCAGGTTGTGCTCTCTAGCTTTATTTGACTGAGAGAGCCAGAGAGCACAAGCAGCGGGGTGGGGGGCAGAGGGAGAGGGAGAAGCAGACTCCCTGCTGAGCAGGGAGCCCAATGTGGGGCTAGATCCCAGGCCCCTGGGATCGTGACCTGAGATGAAGGCAGACACCTAAATGAGCAACCCACAGAGGCGCCCCTATAAAAAAAGTCTTCAAAAAAAAAAAAAAAAACAACTTCCTGATCAAATTTCACACAAAATAGTGTTTTAAATTGAGTTAATGTGAACTTGGGGAAAATGTTGTTGTAGAACAGCGCACAGGACAGAAATTACCAGGCCCTTGTCTGAGAGAGCAGCTCGTGGCAAGCACGGTTTCCTCACAACCAGAGGAGAGAATGAAGGTATTTGATCTAAATGTCCTGATGACCCAGGCTCTTCAGGAGAGAGCCCAAGAGACGGTAAAGGGAGCACAAAGGGATCCTGGGCCAGCAGCAAGAAGAGCCTTTAAGGGGTGGCGGGGGGCGCCTGGGGGGCTCAGTCGTTAAGCGTCTGCCTCCGGCTTGGGTCATGATCCCAGGGTCCCGGGATCGAGCCCACATCGGGCTCCCTGCTCAGCAGGAAGCCTGCTTCTCCCTCTCCCACTCCCCCTGCTTGTGTTTCCTCTCTCACTCCGTCTCTGTCAAATAAATAAATAAATAAGATCTTTTAAAAAGGGGGCGGACATGGAGGGGAAGCAGGCAGAGATCTACGCCTTGGTCACCAGCTTGGTCACCGGCTCCAGGAGGCTGGGAGGGAAGTGGGCCAGATGCGTGCGGCTTCAGAGGGGATTTTGGCTTCATTTTTTTTTTTACAAGCATAATCTATTTGTGCATTACTTGTGCTATTAAAAATTTATTTATTTATTTATTAGAATCATAGAGGTTTTTAAAAGTTTTTTAAAGATTTTCTTTGAGAGAGAGAGATTGAGAGAACGAGTGGGGGGAGGGGCAGAGACAGAAGCAGGCTCCCCGCTGAGCAGGGAGCCCAAGGCAGGCTTGATTCCAGGACCCTGAGATCACGACCTGGGCCCAAGGCAGACACTTCACCGAGGGAGCCCCCCAGGGGCCCTAAGAGGTCAGTTTAAAAAGGAGGCAGAGGCACAGCTCACACTACATGTGCTGGGGAGCTGGAGGGCGCGAGACCAGGCAAAAACAGCTCTTCCGAAGCAGCAGACTAGGAGGTATTTGGCCTTTGAAAAGGCTGGGGAAATAAGAGAGCCCTGTGCTCAGAGGGAGGGGCAGGAGGGGAGCGAGAGGGGGTCTGGGTCGGGGCGGGGGGCACACCTGGATCCTGGGAGAGGCCAGGAAGGAAGGGGCTTGGTCTAACCTCGCCACCACCCACCTCCCTGGCAACAGACACTGCCTCCCTGGCCTTCCCGGCAGCCCTTCCTCACCACATGTGGAAACCTCCAAATGGGTTTACCATGCATGCCAGCAGCTTGGGTTGGGGGCCTCACAGCTGCTTCAGCTCCTCTCTGCCTTGAACCTGAAGTTTTCCCAGGAATGACCTGCACCTTCATTACAGAGGAAGAAGTCTGCAGGCACATGTCAGGGAGCTCCCTTCCAACCGGTCACCTCAGCATGAAGGGAGCCTGGTAGCAATTCAGGGGCAGGACGTGGAGCTTGGGCAGGTGTGAGCACCGCACTGTTAGGATACAAGGGAGAAGGATGGGGGGTGCTGGAGACTGAAGTCAGAACTCTGAGGGCACGGACCAGCCCAGGGCACGGACCAGCCCAGGGCACCAGTGTCCAGCTAGGAAGTGAGGGCCTGACTGTGTCCTGCAGGTGGTAGTGGGGTGTGACTCAGTGTCTGATGGTCATGGAGACTCCCCAGGCTGGTTTCTCCCGGGCTGATGGCCCATGAGGCCCTTCCTTCCCAGAAGACTCACCCTAAGTAGGCAAGTGGGAAGGGGCAGTCCCCCAGAAGGGGGAGCCTGGGAGTGAGACTTGCTGTGTGGTCTGGCTGCAGGTTGGAGGGGACTGGACAGCAGGTGGGGACATTGGCAAGTTTGCAGAGAGTTAACAAGGGGAAGCCCACACATGGGGCTGCAGAGCAGGGCTGGGCCCAGCAGCTCCTTACACAGGAAGTTGGTTATACCTGTGTCCTCAGAGCTGGAGGGGCTTAAAGGTTAGGTCTCATCCCAGAGGGAAGAGGTTGAGGCTCAGACCAATCCAGGCCCTTCTCCGCAGACAGAGCTCAAGCCCCTCCACAGCTTGGAGGCTGTTCCTCCCTCTCACCAGGACCTGCCTCTTCCTTCCCCATCACTGACTTTGGAGAGTTATTAAAAGCAAATCTCTGGCATGAACTGGATTCCTTTCATCTTCCTCTTCCTCTTCGTATTAAATATTAAATACGCAAAACGCACATTGGCTTTCTGGATGCTTAGATCCTAGGTGAGCATGAGTTAGAAGGCACCCAGTTGGCCTACAGTGGAATGGTAACCATAACAGGGCATCCACGAGGTGGGCACATTCCATCCAGACTCCCAACTGACCCTCAAGACCAGCCAGCCCTTGTCCGAGTCATTTCTACTGAGGAAAGAGAGAGAGAGAGAGACAGTGTGTCAGAGAGCAAGGAGCCTGCTCAGAGTCACACAGCATGACAGGATGGGAGCCTGGTCATGAGCCCCAGCCTCTGACTACACTTCCCGATTGGGCGTCTCATGGTGGTGGGGGTGGGAGGGTGTTTATCGAGAACTGGGAGGGCAGGGCACCCATAGACGCCCACTCATCCCTAGAAGGGTCTTGGAGGGTGCTGCTAGTTGCTTCCCGACAGATGGAGCTCACTGCCACCCAGGCTACCCCTCTCACTAGTCAGACTCCCAGCACAGCAGAGCTCGCTGGCAGATCCACCTCTCTGGGGAGGAAATCCTGGGAAATGTGGCTGCAGGAGTGACGCTGCCCGGCATGGACTGGGCACCCAGCTCTTGTGAGGCACTGGGCCAAGCACCTTTCCTGAAATACCTTGTTCATTTCTCAGAACGGGGGGTGCCGCCACGTTCACCCCATCTACATGAGGCCCTGAGAACTTAGGTAGCAGGGCCAAGCCCTCTCAGCTCAACAGAGCTGCATAAGGAGACAAACGTGTGTGCAGTGCTGAGTGTCTGGGAAGGACACCAAGAGACGGTCACATCCCCCCAGCTGAGTCCCAGTGACATCGCCCAACAGCAGACGCTCAAGGGAAAGGTGGTGGGAAAGTCAACAGAGGAAGAGAAAGCTGAGGTCAATCTTGTGGTGACTACAAGGTCATAGTGGATGATGGGTCTTCCCTTGGGAACCCTTCCCCAGTCCCCAAGACCAAACGAAGCCCACCAGTGGGGCAGACATGCCACTGAGGCACGCAGCACCAGGGGCTGCTCCAATCAGAGACATTTGTTAACACAGAAGTCACAGCTGGGATTCACTTAAACTGATTTTGGCCACAATTACCGGTCTGCTCACCCACCTAAGAAACTGTAATGAAGGTGAGCACAGGCACACACAGGTGGGCTGTACTCTATCCGGGGCGGCCCCAATGGTAAGACAGGAAAGGCCCGTCCCTGCACGATTCTGGCCAGGGGCAATTCTCCAGCTGGCTCCCGGCACATCTGTGAGGCAGCGGCCGTGCTGGACGACACGGACTGCACTTATGGTTTCCCTTTTCACGTCAACAGCAACCTGGACACCCAGAAAAATCCTGGGACCAAGCATAGGTCAGCAGTGCCCCAAAGCCAGGCAAATAAGGGAAGGCTCGTGTAAGGGGGCTCTGAGGTCAGTGCACTTGTGCCCACTCTGGTGGCCATCAGCCCTGTGATTTTGGCTGCCCCATTTCACCCCCTAATTGTCTGCTTCCCTGTCAGATGGAGGGCAGGAATGAGACCCACTGAGTAAGGCTTTTACTAGAGAGAAAAGGCTGAGGGCATCTCCCACCAGTGGCTGCTCATTGTCCCCCACTGGGGCACAGACCCTGAGCCAGGGCCCAAAGTCCCGCCTCAGTGGGGACCTGGGCTAGCACTCTGGCCGTGGGAAGGACAGACCACCCTCAGTTCCTTCCCAAAGCTGAGCCCAGTATTTCTGGGGAGATCAACAGGACAGGACAAAGGGCAGACAAAGGCCAGGTTGACAAGCCCCTCACGGACTGCACGCAGGAGGGGTGTGGGCAGTGACGCACGTGGCCCCTCCCAGACAAGAGCAGAAGTCACTTGGGGCCTGGAATCCGGAGGGCCTGAGAAGCTGGCCAGGGCAGGGCACTTATGAGTGCGTGCAGCTCTGCCAACTGTGTGTCCACTCCAGAGAGAATCCGGCTAGCTAGGGAGAGGGGACCCCCAGAAGGGAAAGGAGGGTGGGCTGGGAGTGGAGTTCTGGGTCCAGGAGGAAATGGGGTAGAGGTGGGGGAGCCGTTGCCCAGATGTCCCTAGCTACTGGCAGTGCAGTGATGCGGTTGGTCCCTAGGGCAGCCAGACAGGGCAGAGTGCTCCTGGGGGGAGCAAGCCCCACGTCCTCCCGTCCAGGGTCCCCTGCAGCTCTCTCGCAGCCAGTAACTGCCCTGTGTCCACCCCTCCACGAGCAGCACTGAAGCCAGCCGGAAGGGAGGGAGGAGGGTCGCAGCTTTGGGTGCAGGGGATCCGCAGCTTGGGAGGCGGGGCGGTGGGGGAGGGAGGGACAGACCCCTCCTTGCTGGGAGGGCTTGAAAACTGCAGTGGCCCCTCCTCTATCCAAACCCCGTTGCACGTAGGGCGGTGGCTTTTTCGACCAGAGCGGGTGGCACCATGTCGCAGAGAGCGGTCTCCAAGCAAGCAGCAGCGAGGCGGAGTGGGGGGGACGACCTCACTAGACGCGGGTGCGGCTCCACTCCCTCCCCGCTGGGTTTCTCCTCCCCTGCCCTTGCACAGCGTCCCTCCAGCCCCCAGGGCGCTCCGTTGGCGCAGACAGGGCCTGGCCCGCCAGCCCTGGGCTAGGGCTCGGGCTCCTGCAAAGGGTCCTACCCTCCTGCCTCCCACCCTCGTGAAGGCGAGGTCTGACCAGGGTCTGAGGTAGACAGGCGCCTCAGGGGATGCTGTCTGCACCCCGCCCCCCGCCGAGCGCGCCCACCCGGGGGTACGGACCCACCCGCACCAGGGCCCTCGGAGCCACCCTGCCACAGTAGCGCCTGGCCTGGCACAGCGGCCATGGAAGGGGCAATGCACCCTCACCCAGGGTGCTCGCTTGGGCGCAGCCCCCGCCCATTGGCCCACGCCGGCTGCCCACGCGCAGCAATCCTTGCCCCGGGGTACCAGGTGTTCCCAACCCGTTGGCCCTGAACCCCAGCTCCTGTGGGTTTGGCCGGGCTGCGCCCCGCACCCTTGCAGAGCGTGAGGTCTGAGATGTGAAAACAGAGTCCGCCACCGTCCCCGGCTTCAGGCGAGGCGAGACAATGGCCTCAGCTCAGACCCACCGCTGCCCCCGGATATCCGCGTCCCCGACGCCTACCGGACAGGGTGCTGGCCATGGTGCTGGCGGCGGCGGCTGCTGCGGGAGGCCTAGGAGGCTCGGGCGGCGGCGGCTGCTGCAGGAGGCCTAGGAGGCTCGGGCGGCGGCGGCTGGAGCTGCAGTCGCGAATGCTGCAGTGCTGGGGAGGGGAGGGAGCGAGGGAGGGCGGGAGGCGGGCACAGAGAGGGAGAGGGAGAGGGGGGAGAGCGAGAGCTAGAGAGAGCGAGAGCGAGAGTGTGTGTATAAGAGAGAGAGAGACAGAGCGAGCCCGTGCGCCTGAGCAAGAGTGTGTGCGACGACTGGCTGGCTGTGGTAGGGGCTTGCAGCCGTCAGAGGGAGGTGAGGGTGGGAGGGCAGAGACCAGCTTGGGACATAAGGTCGGACACTGCAGCCCATGCCCATCCACTCCCTGCTTACCTCTTGGACTCGCTGCCCCAGTTTGGCTTTGTGCAGGCTTGGGGGTATGGGGAGACATGCCCCATTCCCCAGGGCCGGCACGGCAGGAGAGGAGAGGCCCCCACATCAGGCTGGGGCTGGAGAGCTCTTCATTAAAGCCTCTGAAGCCTGGGAGGTGTGTTCTGTGTGTCCAGGTCCATGCTGAGGGGAAAGCATGTCATAGACAGGAGGGTAGGAACTGGTCGGGAAGGCCTCCAAGGAGCACCCCAAAGAACGAGTCAATTCTGGGGCAGAAAAAGAGGATAAATGAGATGGTGAGGCCTAGGACAAACGCTTTGAAGTGAGATAGAGATGAGTTTCAACCCCAGCTCTGAGACCCACTTGCTGTGCGATTGGGAGCGTGTTTCTGACTTCTCGGTGGCTCTGTTTCTCGTGGGTAAGATACAGCCATGACGCCAGTCTCCAGGTGAAGAGAGATACAGTTGATGAGTGTGCGGGGGTCATGACTCCCTCCTCTCTGGGCCTAGAGATCAGGTTGATATCCCCCATGGGAGAGCTTTGCAGATGGTGGGCCCTTTTCCTGCAGTGACCCTCTCGTCTCACTCTGGCCTTGGGAAGTGAAATGGATAGAGTGTCATTTCCATTTAAGGGACAGAGCCACAGAGGTCAAGAGAAACGCTTGCCCCGTAAGCAACTAAGTCCTTGGGCCAAGAGTAAAACTGGGAAACCTCAGGAGCCTGCAGAGGGGTGAGGGAGGCCCAGAAAGGGGCCAGACACGGTCAGAATCCAGCTGGAGCAGGCCCAGCAGATGTGAACATCCGGGGGCGCACAGGGCGGGCCTGGGGCTGGTTGACATCTGTTGTGTGGCCCACACAGTGCCTGCCCCACCACAGGTAACCCACAGACCTGCAAGAACAGACTCAATCCGGATTTGTTGACTCCACCGAGATCTCTGTGTCTGCTGAGCGGGGCTGCTTATGGCCAGCCTCGGTGTCCACTTCCTCTCACCTTTCACACTTAGGCTCAGTACGTGGCCTTTATAAGCTAGAATTTATGGCAGGCTGGGCCGTCCCACGCGTGAGGGTGGCCAGGCAGCGCGTGCCTCAGCTGCGCCACTCGGGGACCTCAGCTCCGGCTCTGACCCCAGTGGCCCCCAGTCTCTGGGTCCTGCCTTATCTTCCTCGGCCTTCTGTGCTCTTAGAAGGCGGCTGCCGGGGAGGCGAGGGGCGCAACTCCTGGCTTTGGGAAGGCCGCTGGCCACCCACCCGTCCTTTTGTGAAGTGGGGACGGTGAGAGGACGCATCTCGGGGCCATTCGGGGGACAAGCGTGTCCACGCCTGCACGCTGGCGCCGGAGCAGCCGGCCCTCAGCAAGCGTGTGGCCGGCTGGGCTCGCCGGGTCTGCGACAGACCCGGTCTCCAGCGGCGCGGGCAGTGAGGAGGCCGCCGGCCAGCCCGGGTCCCCCTCGCACGCGCAGCAGACAGGGCACGGGGTCGGGCCGGCTGCGCCGGGGTCCTCTAGACGGGCACCGCCCTCGGGAGCGGCGCAGACGCTGGACGCGGGACGCCGGGCGGACGGCCGGCGGGGCGGGAAGGGCGCGGCCGCTCGCCGGCCGAGCAGCCATTCGCGGGGGAGGCGGAACGGGAACCCCGGGAACCGCCCCCGCAGGCTTGCGCCGTCGTCTGGGCAACCCGGGGACCTGGCCCGGGGCGGGGCGTGGATCGCAGGCTCCCGCGGCCGCCGCGTCGGGGGAGGAGACGGCTCGCAGCTCGGGTTTCCGCCCGCGGGCTCCGGGTCCGCGGGAGGGGCGGGGTGCGGCCCGGAACCGAGCGCGCGGGCCCTCTGCTGCGGAACGGTTTCCGCCGGGAACCACGCTCCGCGGACCGGAACTGGGGGCGGAAGTGCAGCGCGTTCAGGGACGACGGCCCGTCTTAGCCCGCCCAGTCCGAGCCGGCTGGCGGCGACGGGGACGCAGTGGCCCCGGCTGAACTGGGGAACATTCCTGGGCGGCCCCGGCGGCGGAAGGCTGTCCGCGGAGATAAGTGAGTCGTGAGTCGCAAAGACTCCGGAACTGGCTCTTTCACCAGCGCGCGCCTCCCTGAACTGCAGCTCCCGGCAGACCCCGCGCCGCCTCGGGCCCGCGCGCCGGTCTCTCTGCCGCGCTGCATTCTGGGGCCGGTGGTTTTCCAGTGCCCGTGGGTGGGGCCCCGCGCTCCGCGGAGCGGGTCTCCCGGCTGGGGTCCCGGCGCGGGGGTGGGGGGCCTCCCAGAGGGGCAGGGATCCGGGCGGTCCGGGTATCCGGGCGGGACGGCGTCCCGGCCGAGCGTGGGACTGGGGGCCCGGCCGAGCGGGGTGGAGGGGCCGTCAGTGTTCGGGTGAACTGTCCGCTGGCCCCGGTGCCCCGCGCCAGGCCGGGGATCTGACCTGTCGAAGCTCTGGTGCAGGTAAGCGAATTGCTGCCTGCAGAGCGCGTGGGGCTGTGCACGCCTCGCCTCGAGCAGGAAGGAGCCGCTTGGGGCCGGAGAGCAAGGCGGGGCCCACCTGTAGGTTCTTCCGGTCCTCAGACCCCTCAGGTTAGGGTGTCACAGGCTTGCCCTCCGACCTCGTACGCGGCGGGACTGCCTGACTGGTGGCGTGGCCTGGTACTCGGGAAAGGCTGCCCACAGGCTTGTCCCCATCTCTGTGCCATAGGGCTTCCTGGGGACAGTGGCATGTCGCAGAGTCGTGGGCTGGCGTCACTTACCTGCAGTGGCTGAGATTCCCAGGTGTTCGGAGGAGATTTTGTCTCCCACTCGCACAGCCGGTGTGCCAGCAGCCTCTGTGCCCTCCTGCGAACAGGCCAGCATGCCCAAGATAGCCCTGAGGGGTGTGACCGTGGATTTCCCTTTCCAGCCGTACAAGTGCCAGGAGGAGTACATGAGCAAGGTCCTGGAGTGTCTGCAGAAGGTACGGCTGCGGGCGGCCGCGTTGGTGCCCTGGGAGTGGGTCTGCGCGGTCAGAGCTTCCGCGATGTCCTCACGGGACGACCGTCCGCCTTCCGCTCACTCCCGCTGAGCCCCATGGGGTCACAGGCCTCCTTCCGGACACGGGACTGGTCACAAATGGCACCGGCGTTCTAGGAGAGATGATGGACAAGTAGAACAGCTCTTGGCTGAAGAAGAGTTGGGGGCCGTAGGCCTGGGAGCACCTTGAGGGTCTCTATGAGGAGGTGGCGTTTGAGCCGAGGCCGAGTGTGGGGGGCAGCCAGCCGTTTGAGGGCGGAGTAGTGTTTGCACGTGGAGGGCTAGCCGGTGCCTAATCCTCATTTTGGAAGGTCTGTAAAGCTCAGGAATGTGCCGGAAGGCAGAAGGAGTGCAGGTAGCTCTCCGTGGCTTCCTTAGTGTGTCGTGTTGTGCCCCGATGGAGCTCCCAGTGCCCGCGGGCTGACTCTGCAGCGGGGCTCCCGGCTGCTGTGTGCGCACGGACTGGACTCCTGCAGGGAGGAGCCCAGTGCCCGTTCCTGGGAGCAGCACAGTCTGGCCGGTCCACCCTGTATCTCCCCAGGCTTGCTGCTCAGGCTCCCGCGTGGGGTGCACGTAGGTCATCAGGTTCCGCGCGGTGGAACTTTGTGACCGAAGTTACAGAATAGCACTGTGTCGGCAGCCGCCGGAGTGGCGGCTCACGGTACGTTAGGCTGAGGAACACAGTTGCGTTCTGGGTAACGCTGTGTACATCGTCCGCTAAGCGGTGCGGAATCAGCCCGTAGCCGCTGGCTTTCGGGTGAGCGTGGAAGCGTGTCACGTTGCCGGCCTTCCGCAGGCCTTGTGCCGCGTCGGGTGGGCTCAGCCTGAGCAGAGCTCCCGCTGCTGGGCCGCCGGCCTGGTCTCGGCGGGCCGCGCAGTCTGCAGTGCTTCTCCCTGCTTCCCCGTGACCTCGTTGCTGACCCCATTCAGAGAGTCAACGGCATCCTGGAGAGCCCCACCGGCACGGGGAAGACGCTGTGCCTGCTCTGCAGCGCGCTGGCCTGGCGGGAGCACCTCCGCGACGCCGTTTCGGCCCGCAGGATTGCTGAGAGAGCGCCCGGGGAGCTCTTCCTCGATCACACCTTGTCGTCCTGGGGGGCTGCCACTTCAGATGGAGACACCCCAGGTGAGGCTCCCTTCAGCCCCTCTGGGTCTCCCCAGAGAGGCAGCAAAGGAATAGAGAGGGCTGGTGAGGCTCTGGCGCAGAGCTCCGCGCGGGGCGTTGTAGCCGCGACATTCTACCTCAGCGGGGGCGGTGCACCTGGGGGCAGAGCCCTGTGGCCAAACTAGAACTCCGCAGAAAGCCCCTGAGCTCGCTCCCCGGACCGGGCTGAGTGAGCCCAGCGCCCCCGGGTCCACGGCACACCAGAGTGTCGTCCCGTGGTGCCGTGACCCGCGCTGCTTCCTTACGTCCGGGCAGCTTGCTACGCGGACATCCCGAAGATCGTTTACGCTTCCAGGACCCACTCGCAGCTCACTCAGGCTGTCGGCGAGCTTCGGAAGACGTCCTACCGGTGGGTCAGGCGCCGCGCGCCCCTGCCTCTGACTTACGGGGGGTTGGCCTTGACGAGCTGGTTTGATGGTGGCGCTCTGCCTGGAGCCCCTCTGGACTGCAGAGCCCCTGCGCCCCGCTGCAGCCGCCGCACCGCGTGAGGTCAGGCTGTCTGTGCCGCCCGCACTGCGGAGAAAGCCCTCCCCGCTGCGCCAACCTCGGCTTAGCGCTCCGAGCCCCTGGAAGGCGATGTGGTGTTACCTGTGGGTGTGGGTCCATGTGGCGGGCATGTGATGGGAAAGGAGGCGCTGCCTCCTCCTGGGGCCCGGCAGAGCTGTAGGAGTCCTGGGGTCCTGCGCCAGCCTCCTGTACGGGGGGCACGGAGTCAGCGGGGTCTCCTCCCGTCTGCCCGTTTCCCCCACCCCGTCTCCTTGCTCAGTCTGGGCCATGCAGTGGAGAAAGCGCCTCCCAAGCCTGGGGCCCGCTATGGCCATGGCCCCTCCCTCTGGCTACCTGGTGCAGGTGTGAGCCCCGTCTCCCTGCACTCCCCGTGGGTCCCACACGCCCACGTTCATGCTGCTAGATGGCACCGGGGCTCTTGCTCCCTGGTCCTCAGACCCCATCATCTGTCTTCTGCCAGGCCTAGGGTGTGCGTGCTGGGCTCCCGGGAGCAGCTGTGCATCCACCCCGAGGTGAAGAAGCAGGAGAGCAGCCACATGCAGGTGGGTTTCTGGCGCGCGCTGTTCTCTCTGGCTCTTTTGGAGCCCTGGCCTCTGCGCCCTGGGGAGGGCCCAGTGAAGAGCTGGTGGGGGCCGGAGCAGGGCACAGTCGCCGCATGCCGGGCAGCACTGCCGGCGGCCTGTCCTGTGGCTGGCCCAGCACTCTGCCCTTCCTTGGCCATCGTGCTAGCTGGGGCTGCTTCCTTTATGTCCCAGATTCATTTGTGCCGAAAGAAGGTAGCGAGTCGTTCCTGTCATTTCTACAACAACACAGAAGGTAAGGGGTCTGGGGAGGCCACTCCTGCCGGTTGGTCTGCATACAGCCAGGAGGGCTTGGAGTGTGTGCTGCCTCCTAGACCTTGTGGCCTGCTGGCTCTCCGCTTTGGGGCTCCAGACTGACCCCATTGGTTCAGCGAGGTGAGGGGGTGAGGTGGGGTGGTGCTGGGCACTGTCTCTGGACCGTGGACCCGTGCTGGATCGTGTACAGAAAGGCCAGGGCAGGGAAGGCTGCCATCTCAGAGGGGCCTCCTGGCCAGGCCAGCCTTGCCGCTGTCTGGGAGCGTGGATTTCGGGGGTTCTCCATCCTGAGAGGTGGGGCTCTCTGGGCCCAAACTGTCTGTGCCAACAGGAGGGTTGGTGCTGAGCAGCTCCTCCCCGCCGGGAGTCTGGAATCTGGGCGCCCGCCAGCCAGGGGTGCCCACATGACCGGCCCCAGCAGACGCTCTGGGCGCTGGGCGTCTGGCGAGCTTCCCGGGAGACAGCATTTCACACGTGGTCTCAGCCCTTTCTGGGGCAGATGGCCGGGAGGGGTTCTGGAAGCTGTGCCTGGTCTCCTGGACCCCTCCACAGGCTTTTCCCTTTACTGATTTGCCGTGTGTCTTTGGGGTGCGACAGGGCACAGCATGGGTGCGGCTCTCCCTGAGTCCGGGCAGTCTGCCAGCCTTTGGTGCTGTGGGAGGACAGCCTCTCCTGGAGGTGGCTGAGGTGACTGGCCCGGGGTTGTGACGACAGCTGGCCCTGGCGTAGCTTGATGTGTGTGGCCACCGGTGCCCACGGCCCTTGACTGCTGCTGCGCACCTTCCTTCGGCCCAGAGTGGAGGGCTGGCCCCCCTTGCCTCCACGTCTGTCGGGTCTTGCTTTTCCATCGCGTGGCTGCCCCCGCGTCTGAAGCTCCGCTGGAGCCAGAAGCCCCATTGGGGCACTTCTCTGGGCTATGGTCTCTCTGTCTCCTAGCACAGCCGCGGCTCTATGGCTCAGGCTTGTGCTTTGGTGGGGTCGGGGTTCCCTCTTCCTTGCCTCAGGGCTGGGAGTCAGATCCTGGCACAGGAGTGACAGAGGCCCTAGGGCACTCACAGGGCCCTAATGCTGGGGTCTGGGGTGCCCGGCATGCCAGGGCCATGTCTGCTCCCAGTAAGCTTGGACTCTCACCTCTCAGCAATAGGCATCCTGTGCCCTGTCCCTGGAGCTCACTGCTCACCACCTTCTTGCTGGCTGTGTTGTTTGGTCTGGTGGCACCGGGAACCCTTGGCACAGCAGTGACGAGTACACGGGAAGCACCGGGGGCCGGCCTGGCCCGCAGTGACCCTGCACGAGGGCAGCTGCCAACTGCTGTGGCCTGGTGGTGGCTCGTGCCCCGCTCCGGCAGGCTGCTGGCTGAGTTGCTCTGCTTTGCTCTGTTTGTGTGAGGCCTGTGGGTGTCAGGATGGCTCCAAGGCGATTTCCCCCTTGCTTTGTCCTCCTTCTGTCCTCCTTCTGTCCCCTGCTCTCCCATCCTGGTCCCGCTGTCGCATAGGCCTTCGGCTCACGCCTGTTGTGCTTAGTGGAGTCCTGTCTTTTTGCCCCATTGTGGCTGCCTCTGTCTACATTCTTGACAAAGGGGTGGGTTGCAGGTACCCTATTCCCCCTTCCTGGAGCCTTTGAGCAACACTCGCTGGGAACTGCTCCATCCCCTTTCCACAGCTCTCTGCAGCTCAGCTCTAAGCTCTCCAGCCCTCATCTGCAGTGCGGTTCATCCGCCGCCCCACACCGGCACAGCCCCACTCCCGCAGCCCCCCACACCCGCACCGCCTCACACCCGCACCGCCCCACACCGGCACCACCCCACTCTTGGACTCTTGTCACCTGTACTGTCTTCACTTGCAGCATCTCTTACCTTCTCTGGTGGGTGATGGAACGGGTGGGGGGAGGGTCAGGAGTCCGGAGGAGGGGCGGGAACTGAGGGGCACTTCCAGCCCACAGTGGAGGCAGTGCGGGAGCAGGTGTGTGCTGGTCTCCTGGGCTGCAGACCCTCCCCCTGCTGTGCCCCGTGCATGGCAAAGTGAGGGAGCTGTCACAGCTGGCTCCAGGCTTCATTGGTCATGCCCTGGTCCCCGGCCTCCCTGCTCTGCCGGCCCTGCCGCGCACTGTCGGAGGTCTGCCGCGCGCCTCTACTGCATCTCAGCTGCCTCTTCCCCTGCCGTGGGATGTGCGGTGGCACCGCCAGCGGCTCCCCAGCCCTTGGGGGAGTGAGCAGACTCAGAAGGGTCTGAGAGGAGGAGAGGAACGTGTGGGAGGAAGGAAAGGTGCAGAGCTAGCGTCCTGCTTGGCTTCTGTCTGGGGGAGCAGGCAAAGGGCCCCGCTCGCTGCCTATAGCCTCTGTGTGCTGGGGTCAGCCCTGGCTTCATCCCCTTCACCTCCTCTTCAGCCTCCGCCGCCCCTTCCTGTTGCCCGCCTCCCTTCTAGGCTGTCCTGCTGCAGAGCCCGCGGATGGGCTGCTCTGTTGCTGCTGTGCTGTTGGGCGCACAGCCTTTCTCTCCCTGCTGACCCTAGGAGGCATTTTGGGTTCGGTCACCACCAAGGTCACCGCCAAGGTGTGTTCTAGCCTCTGCAGTGAAGGGCCAGGCCCAGTACCTGCCACAGTGGGGCCAAGAGCCAGGAGCCGGTTTCCACAGGAGGCTGCCCTGCCCGCTGGGCTGTGTGTTCGAGGAGAGCCCTGGGCCTCCCAGCCTGGATGTGGGCTCCTGAGGGGCTGGGTGAAGGCAGCTCTTCAGGGGGTTCCTGGGGCCCCTTCTTAGCTCCTTTCTGGTCCAGGCCGCCTGCGCAGCCGGCAGGGAGTCACGCTTCTCTTGGGCGGCCATCGTGGGTCTGTCAGGCATGGAGTGGGTTCTGCTTCGGGGCCTCCCACCTCCCTCAGGCCTGCCTCAGATCTGTGTCCCTGCACTGTTGACCTCTGGGGGGAAGCGAAGAGAGAAAGCTAATTCCGGCCAGACCAAAGCCTAATTATGGGACAGATGCTTCCAGGCACAGCCTTGAGGGCATCTAGAGACAGGCTGAGGGGCTGTGCACCCGCCTTTGTCCCCCGGGGTCCCCTGTCCTGTTAGTGCTCGGTCTCAGGCCAGCAGCTCCTTCTCGAGGCAGAGAGCCAGGCCCCCGGAGGGTTACTTCAGGTCTGGGGCCCTTCCAAGGTCACTCACACTCTCAAAGCAGGAATTCTCTGGAGAGCCCCTAGGTGGTTGGGCGCCCTGGTCCTGCTCGGAGGGAGCGTCACTGCCTGGGTGTTCCTCTGGGGTCTGCGGGACTCACTGGGCCTGAGGACGTGTCTTTGTTCTTGCCTGTGTCCTCAGAGAAGAGCCTGGAGCAGGAGCTAGCTACCACCATCCTGGACATCGAGGACCTGGTCAGAAGTGGGAATAAGCATAGGTAAGACCCCTGCGGCCAGACAGCAGCCGCCCGTCCGTCCTTCTGGAACAGGTTCTGCCATGACGAAGCCGGGCACGCCACTTCCTTTGCTTTGCTCCTTGACTGATCGTAAACTTAATGGTTCTTTGGTGTGAAAAGAGTGGTTTTGAATACCGGGGCAGCAGGGAAGCCGTCCCTGCTGCTGAGGTGACCACAGCCCTGCCGGGCAGCCCCGGCTTCCTGACGGATTTGCTTTGGCTTCCAGCGGCTAGCGGGCCCGGTGCCGGCCTCCTCCACTCGTCTGGTTTCCACAGAACCCACGTGCTTTTCCGCTCTTTGTGTCCATCTCTTGCGGCTTCAGGGCTTTGGGCTGTGCTGAGACAGGACTGGGCGTTTTCTTTCTGATTGCCGTGTTCTCTACCCAGGGACAGGATTGGGGTGTTTTGTTTATGTTGATTTTTTAACAGGTGATTCGCTGCTGTGGTTGAAAACTGGTGGTGTGAACCGTAACGCAGTGAGCCCCTGCAGTCCCCAGGCCCCGGCTCCCGTCAGAGCCCCGCAGCACTGGGCTCCTTGCTCTTGCCTGTCAGAGGGCACGGCGTGCGGCCTGGCCGCCGCCCAGCGGGAGCCCCTCCCGGGGCCTGGACCTCCCTCGTGGCTCCAACATGTGCCTCCCTCCCCTCCACAGCCTGTGCCCATACTACCTTTCTCGGAGCCTGAAGCAGCGAGCCGACATCATCTTCCTGCCATACAACTACTTGTTGGACGCGAAGGTGAGGCTTTGGGCCTGCGGCTGATGGTTGCTGGTATCAGGTGGCGTCCCTGGGCTCGTGTGGGACTGCCGGAGCCTCCGTGGGTTCAGTGTCTGAGAGAGACCCGCAGGGCTGCAGGCGTGTGTGCGAGGCCTCCGCCTCCCTCCCTGGTCTGGGACACACGTGGGTCTCCCTCACTTTGCCATGCACGGGGCATAGCAGCTGTCGCCAGCGTGGGGCCGTGGGTCTGCCATTCCAAGCTCTCTGGGGGCGGGCGGGCTGATGGAGTGGGGGCAGCCCAGCGGCTGCATCCGTAGGCCGGTCCCTGGCCTTGCCCCGGCGGCTCGGCTTGTCTCTTCCCAGGTGGGCCCAGTGAGGCGGCCCTGAGCGTGTGGCCCCGGCCTCCCTTGCAGCCGTCTCTTGAGACGCACGTGTCCACCCATCCTCGCACACACCCTTGGTTGAATGCGGGCTTGGCCTTCGTGTTGCCGCAACAGGTGGACGACTCGCCGCCCGGGGCCTTACTGGTCCAGCACGACTGTGGTGCAGGCAGTCAGCCAGCGCGGGCGGTGCTGGTGCTCAGCGGCGGGAGGGGAGAGGAGCAGAGCACAGGGGCTGGGGTCAGTGCCATAGGGCGGGGATGTCTCCGAGGAAGGGCAGGCTTCAGGGCCCATGGAGAGAGCAGGGGGAAGCAGAGCGTGGCATGGGTGCGGGCGGCTCTAAAGCGGTCCGGACCCTGCGCAGAGCGTGGGGCGCACTGGTGCCTGGCCGGCCCCACCCCAGCATGGTGCCCTGGGCCTGACAAAGTGATTATCTGGCTGACCTGGAATGGCAGAGGGTGGAAGGGGGTGAGGCAGCCACGACGGAGGCCAGAGGTGGGGGGCTCTAGGACGGGCTGCAACGCATAGACCAAGCTGCTGGCCAGGTTCGCACGGCAGTGCCACCGAGACACGCCCGCACGGGAGGCAGTGGTTTTCAGCAAGCTTGCTTAGGTATTTCAGCGGGAAAAGGAAAGGTTTGGGACTCTTTTCTCTAAAAATTGGCGCTGGAGTCAGATGTCTGTTTGGAAGAGAATGAATTTCAGCAGTTCCTTGACCCTGCACAACCCGGATGGAAGAGCTGGACGCGCAGAGCTCCTCCTGGACGGAGCAGGGAGGCAGGCCTGGCTCTCGCTCACACACACCGCGCGCCGGCCACAGAGAACTCCACGTTGGAGTTCGCCACGATGGAAAGCCCTGATCTCTAAGGGGAAAATTAAGAAAACGGCAGCAAGTCACAAAGGGAGAGTTTTCGTGGTACTGTGGACCGCGCCTGCCTCTGGGTGGCATCTCCGTCCCTCACTAGCCATCCCAGAGGAAGGAGCTGAGGCGGGCGGCCAAGTCAGCCTCTGCACGGAGAGTGTGCGGCACTGCTGGTCTGGAGAAAGTGCAGGTTAAAACCATAGGGGGATGGCCTTGTGCTCCCAGCAGGGTGTCCGGAAGGAGGCCGGTGGCCAGTGTCCCCCGAGGACGCAGGGCCGTGCTGGGCTCCTCCGCTCGCGGTGTGAGGTGGGGTGCCACTCTGGCAGCACACCTGAGGGGAGCAGCCAGGGCCAGAGCCTCGCCGTCTGTGGTCCACCCCAGGAACAGCCCGTCCATCAGCAGCAGGCGTCCCCAAAACAGCGCCACGAGCCGTGAGGAGGGCTGAGCTGTGGCCACACATCAGCGACACACGTGGGTCTCAGAACACATTGCCCACGGGCCGTTAGATGAGCCCTGCTGCCTGACTCTGTTTCCAGGACAGCCCAGGAAAGGCAGACCTGATCCCCGCTCACGAGGATGGTCAGAGCCCTCGGGTAGGGGGAGGGGAGCGGGTCTACTCTCCTGCGTGCTGACGACGCAGTGCTCGCGTTTGTCAAGACCAACTGCACACTTAAAACGGACACTTTATTTTTATGAGTATTGGACCTCAAAAGCAGCTGAAGTAAAGAAATACTGGCGTTGACCCCACCCGGGTCCACCCCAAGTCAGCACCAGCCCAAGCCCTGCTTGGGCCTCCTCCATCCCGTGGCTGTGTGGCCGCATGGTGCGGGGTCCCACGCCCGATCCCTCGTGCTGCGTGTCGCCAGAAGGGACACCTGACCTCCAGCTCAGCGGGTGGGAGATCAGGTGGGCATGGCCTGAGGGGCGTCCCCTGCTGGCCTTGAGCCTCTCGGCCCCAGCCCCGCGTCCTTCCCCTCTTGCCGCAGAGTCGCCGAGCCCACAGCATTGACCTGAAGGGGACGGTTGTGATTTTTGACGAAGCTCACAATGTGGTGAGTGCCCAGGTGGCCTTTCTGCCGCCCCCACCCCCCACGTCCCTGCAGAGAGCAGTGCAGACCTTTCTGTCCAAGGCTTGGGCAGGATATGCTGGCCAGCCCTGTGGCCCATTTCTATCCAAAACTCACAGCCCCGGCTTGGTCTCGTTCTCTTTGTCCCTTGGTGGCCACCTAACCTGATGCTTGCCCGCTGGTGACCACAGCTGGTCCCTCCCTGTTACCTCTGCCCTTCCACCGCATTGCTGTGGTCTCTGCTCAGGGCCCTGTGTTTCCAGGAACAGCTGCTCTTGAGCAGGACAGGGGAGGAAGGCCACTTGTGTGCTCTGGAGCCTACTGTCCCGGGACAGCAGCAGCCGTCCTCAGGCCTCCACTTGGTTCCAGGCACTTGTTATCATGGAAGATGGGACCATGGGTCTAGTGGGCCATGTCTGACTTTTGAGAAAAGCCAGAAACCTCTATATTTTTTTAAAGTTTATTTTTTCTAGTAATCTCTACACCCAGCTTGGGGCTCAAACTCATGACCCCAAGATCAAGAATTGTGTGCTTTTCTGACAGACCCAGCCAGGCGCCCCGAGAAATTTCTCTTCTAAATGGAAATTTTCCAGTTATGAAATTTCAAACATTGGTGTGGTGGTTTGGCTGTCTTTGGACCAGTGTGTGACCTGGCCTTAGGGACCGTGGCATGTGCCTTCCAGTAGCCTGCACCCCTACCCCACCTTGGCTTCCTGGGTCCCCGAGTCCCTGCCCCCGTTTGGCCATAGCCTAATGGATGTGCTTGGACTCCCAGGAGAAGATGTGCGAGGAGACGGCGTCCTTTGACCTGACCCCGCATGATTTGGCTTCAGGACTGGATGTCCTAGACCAGGTTCTTGAGGAGCAGACCAAGGCAGCCCAGCAGGGCGAGCTCCACGTGGAGTTCAGCACAGCTGCCCACCCAGGTGAGCTTATAGGTGGGAACGGAGAGACGGGCTGCAAGGTGCTCTCGGGGGTCCTGGAGGCCTGAGTCTTCCCAGGGCCCGCCCTTCAGGTCATCGTTTGGGGACAGTATGGACTTCTTTCAGAGTTTTCTTGGGGCCTCACAGACCAGGAAGTAGGTGCCACCCAGCCAATCCAGCATTTTCTAAAGACCTTTCTGTACTTTCCCAGTCGGTATAGTCTTTACTGTATACAAAAGAGAAGTAGGGGCACCCGGGTGGCTCAGTCAGTTAAGCAGCTGCCTTCAGCTCAGGCCATGCTGCCAGGATGCTGGGATCGAGCCCCGCGTCAGGCTCCCTCCTCAGTGTGGACTTGGCCCCTGCATTGATGCCCACTTTGATCACCCCGTGAAGTGATGACTACCAGATTTTTCTGTTGTGAAGTTACTTCTTCCCTTTGTAATTCCTGCGCAGCCTGTGGCATCCACGAGCAGTTCCTCCCTGAATTACCGATTGCTGTAATGTTTGTGAAGTGATGGGTTTCACGTCCGGATGCCTCTCATTTCTGAAGCCTGGGGATCCGGCTGCTCACTGCACCGCATGGGAGGGGCCCGGCCGGAAGCTCCCGCGCTCGCTCTCGCGCTCGCTCTTGCGCTGTCCAGAGCCACGCCTCTCGCTCTCACTCCCTCCCCAGCCTCATCAGTGTCTCCGTCCTTCCTGTGCGTCTCATTTGTCTGTTCGGTCCTGGAAGGTTCCACAGTTTTCCAGAGAGCAGATGCCCACCGTGAGGAAGGAAAGCTTGCTTCCCAGAGCTGCGTGTTGGTGCCTTCTTGGCCTGAGTCTGAGTGCTGGTCGGAAGACAATGATGCGGTGTCCTTGGTTGTCCCTGCGGCCCTCCCCCCCCCCCCTCCGTTGCACCTGTGTGGTCATTCTAGGGTCATTTCTTACTCCGCGCTGCTTCTTGTTGACTTTATTAGTTGGGTTGCCTGCCCTTGGGTGTCTGACACGTGACCGTGGTTCTGGAAGTTGAGATACCTGAGGGAAGTGTCTTGCTAGGTTCTGGTTTGTCCTTGCTGGGCTCTTTCCCCCCAGAAGGAGCGGACACGAGCACATTTAGTTTACTCCTCTCCGCTGCACACGGAGCCCTGCTGTCCCTTGTACGTTCACCTGCACTATGCTGTGTTCATGCCTCATGCGTCCTGCAGAGCCCCCCCCATACAGAAGCTCCCCTCTCCTCAGCTGCCACCTCCCTACAGCGGGGGTCCTGGCTCCGTCTGTGGGACACTGGCTTGTTTCCAGCATTCCGTGATTACCAGCAGGGCTCTCCGAGTGACCTGGGGCGGACGCAACCCCGGGTCCATTCCGGGACTCGGGGCTGGGGGCAGCCGGGAAGCGCGCCGCTGTGCTGCTGAACCCGGCCTGTGTGGTGGCTGGGGGCCTGGCCAGCAGGGTGTGACCTGGGCCTTTGCACATGTGCCAGTCTCCCAGATGGAAATGGCTCTCAGTGCGGTTTTGATGTGTTCTTCTCTCAGAAGTGAAATGGAACGTTTTTTTCAGTTGTTTGAGGAATGTGTATTTTGGCTTGGAAGTGGTGGTGCTAACGGGTGTGATGTCCTTGTTCTGTCCCAGGAAACCCCAGGGCGCTAGCCACCCCCCGCAGTCCGTGCTGGTCTGAGTTTCTCGCACCTCGCCTGTTCTTGATGACCTCCACAGTTGGGGGAGGCTCGGTGAAGCCTTCTGTGGAATGTGCCTTAGTTGGGAGGTGTCTGCTTTTCTCCTGGGTGTGCTGGGGTCGGGGGTGGCTCTGGGATTTGGGAGGAGAGCACACGGACAGCACGTTTTCACACCCTGCTGCGGCAGGGATTTCTGGTGGGTCATGGGTCTGATGAGGGATTTGTGTCCAAAATATATTCAGAAGCTCTTACCACTCGAGGAGAAGACAATCTGGTCGGAAACAGGCAAAAGCCGGGAAGAGACGCTTCTTCAGAGTAGACGTCCCAGTGGTCAGCATGTGCGGAGGCACGAGGTGGGCCCGGGAGACGGACCTGCACCGCTGGCGGGCGGCAGGGCCACGCCGATGGGCCCCCGTGGCGGAAGATTGAGGACGGCGTGGCTTCTCCTGAGGCCTCTCGTCACAGGCCAGGCCGAGGGGTGGCGTGTCTTCCTGTTGGGAGGCGTGCTGGTGGGTCTGGTTCTTGGCGTGTCTGCGGGAATGTCGTCGTGCTCCGTGCTGGGGGAAGGCAAGATGGTGATGCGCCAACTGTGTCACGCCGATTACTGGGAGGGACAGTTTTATAAAGACGCTCTTCGCCGCAGCTGTTGCTTTGTGGCACCGTTATTACAGGAAAGGCTGGATGGAGGCCGGACATTTTTCTGGTTTTCTGGTTTGGGAGTTTGAATTTAATCCTGACTTGTGGTCTATCCCTTGTTCCCCTCAGGAGGAGAGTAGTTCTTAATGTCACTGGTGTACTTGTGTTTAAACACAGACGATGGTGTCAGTCCACCGTAAGCCTCGTCATCGCTGAACTCAGGGGTCCCTTCTTCAGCCGTTCCCATGGCCCCACCAGGCGCTGAGGGGGGGGCGGGATGCTGCTCACTCACTCCCGCGCTTCCTGTCCCACCCTGGCCGTCAGCCACATCTCCAGGGCGCCCCGGTCTCGTCTCCTGGGAGGTGTTCTCTCGAGAACCCACCATGTGGCCACAGGGACCCTTGTTTGTTGCTGGCTCAGCCATTGTCCTGGGTCTCCGGTGGACCGGCCAGGGAGTGTGTCCCCACACGCGAGCGTGCCCACCACGTGTCCCTGCGCTTGCAGTGCTGCTGGCCCCTGTTCGGGCTGTGGGGATCTCAGAGCCTCGTGCGCTTGTCTGTGGTTGTCTCTGTGCCACGCCTACTTGGAGGAACAGGCAGGAACCCAGCCCGATTCCTGCTCTTTGGGGCCCAGTGGGTGGACGTAGCCCGTGACCACATGTTTGCTGCTCCCCCAGGGCTGCACCTGGAGCTGCAAGACCTCGCAAAGCTCAAGAGTGAGTGCCGCCCCTCCCCCACAGCTGCCGGGCGGGCACACCTGACGCCACGGCTCGCGGGGTGGGGGGGCACACCTGACATCACGGCTCGTGGACCTGACACCACATCTCGCCGCGGGGGGGCACACCTGACGCCACGGCTCACGGGGGGGGGGCACACCTGACGGACACCTTGCCCCGCAGCGATCTTGCTTCGCCTAGAGGGGGCCATCGATGCTGTTGAGCTGCCTGGGAACCACAGCGGCGTCACCAAGCCAGGGAGGTAAAGGGGACTGGGTGTGCCAAGCGCTCCTTGGGGTCCACCTGTCCCACCCCCACGCCTGTGAGGTCTGGGTGGGTTTCAGTGGCCCGTGAGGGCCTACTGTCTGTGCGCTAGGTTGTCTTGGGAGTCTCGGGGTGCTGTGTACGCAGGCGTGGCTACTGGCCCAGCCGCCCCCCGCCCCCCACCCCGCCAGCCACCCCTTGCAGCCTCCGTGGACTGGGAGGGCTCTGACCAGGGCACAGGGCGGCTGGGTGTGTCCCCCAAAAGTAGACAAGGGATCACGTCCTGTGGTTGGTGGTAGCTCTGATCTGGGCTCGGGTTCTGGAGGCACGGAATATTCTAGAATGTGCTGGAGCACTGCTGCCTGCCTTCTTCCCAGGCCCGTCTGCTGCGCTGTGATCAGAGCCTCGCAGGGCTCCCACTTGTTCCACAGATGAGCGAGGCTCCTCAGCCAGCCCCACCCACGCCTCCGAGGCCCAGACGGCAGGACTTGCCTGCCTCCCAGAGCTGCCCTTGGGGGCTTGCCTTTTCCTCCACACTCAGGCTCCCGAGGGCACAGGCCTCCCTCACCTCTGGGTTTGGCCGGGAGAGGGCTCCGCTCTGGTGTCTGAGGGAAGGGAGCTTCAAAGGCCTCTGGCCGTCAGCAGCTCCTGAGCCTAGCCCGGGGCCCTGCCTGAGCCTCTCTCCTCCACAGCTACATCTTCGAGCTGTTTGCCGAGGCCCAGATAACGCTTCAGACCAAAGGCTGCATCCTCGACTCCCTGGACCAGATCATCCAGCACCTGGCAGGACGTGAGTCCCCAGCCCGCCCTGCAGCTGCCACTGCGTTGGCCCCCACACCGGGCCTTGTCCGAGGGCCGTAGCCTGCCGCAGCTCCCGGCGGGAATGTCACCCCAGAGCTCCTTTCCTGGCTGCGATGTCCGGGCATCAGTGCCCTTGGACGGGCGTGTTTTATAAAGCACAGCCCAGCTTTTCTGTTTCCCGGTCAGCCCCTTTAAAGGGAGAACGGTGAGGGACGTGGTGGGCCAGTGGGCCACGGGTCCCACCAGCGTCTCTCCTCACCGCCCCCCTCCCCCATCCTGTTTCCACCCTGAGGCTGAGGCTGCACTGTGGGCCCCTTTCTGCTGGGTAGGTCTTGTTGTCATCTCTGACCAGCCTTGCTGTCCTCCAGCCCTGGGGGTGGCCTGGCGGTGCCAGCCCTGCCTGACCACAGAGCCTCTTTTTCTCATCCCACTGACCGCCCGAGGGCGCGCCCCACACTAACAGGGGGTTGAGGCTGAGCTTGCTCGCTGGTCCTGAAGGTGGGGGGGTCTGGTGGCTCCCCTGGTGGGGGTGTGGGATGGCCAGTGGCTGCTGCTCCCACAGGTACGGGGCCGTTCACCAGCACAGCAGGCCTGCAGAAGCTCTCGGATATCATCCAGGTAGGAGCGGCCTCGCCGCAAAGATGCAGCGTCTGTTTTCCTGACGGTAGCTAAGGGATGCTTTCTCGTCCTGAGCTGTTACTGACTCGGTCTTGGCGGGGAAGACCTAGGCTTTGAATCAACGGCCGCTGACGCGTGTTTCCTCTGGCCCTGAAGGCGCACTGCTGGGCCCTGGGGGAGAGGCCGTGCTCGGCTGTTCTGGTCAGTCGTGTCCGGGATAGGTGCTCGGGCAGGTGGGACGAGGGCCTGGCAGAGTCCCCTGGTTTTCATATAGGCTCAGTGTCTGCTACCCTGCCATCTGCCATCACTTTCTCTCCAGTTTTTTGTTCTATTTCTTTTTTTTCCCTTAATATTTTATTTACTTATTTGAGAGAATAAGAGAAGGAGCAGGGGGAGGGGCAGAGAGAGAAGCAGACGCCCCACTCAGCAGGGAGCCAGATCCGGGGCACTTAACCAGCAAGGCCACCCAGGCACTCCCTCAACTTATTTTCTGAACCAGCTTTTCAGAGGAAAGTCGAAGTATGAGCCACTTAGAGAACGAAAGGGCCTAGGCTCTGTCTGCCCAACCCCGTATCTGGTCCCTAGGTCTGCCCAAGCAGAGACGCATTCAGACTTTTAGGGGGAGTGTGTTGGGCAATGCCTGTGAACCCAGGTGGGGCCCACGGGCCTGGCGTTCAGAGTTGGCAGGGTGATCGGCATGTCCTCTGGGGTCCACTTTGGGGCGGGGAGCAGCCCCCAGGGCTCGCTGAGCCCCTCCAACCACATGCAAACCGTCTCTTTCCCTGGCCAGGCAACCAGTAGGGACAGGACGCACCTCAGGGTCTGTGGACATGGCTGCTTCCTGCCCCCCAGTGTTCTGACCTGTGTCCAGCCGTCCTCGGGCCCAGCTGAGCCATTTCCTTGGTTCAGGTGGACGAGCCAGGCTCTGTTTCCCTCGGTTGCGTGGCTGCCAGGCCGGCTGAGGGCCCTCTTTTGCCGCACTAGGCCTTTTGGAAGAGGACTTTTGGTGGCCAGAGGTCCTCAGTGAAACCACGACCCAGGAGGCCCCGTGCTTTGTGGTGTGACTGCCTGCCAGCCGGGCACTTGTGCCTGTGCTGCGGGGCCTGGCCGGGGGGGCCCCAGCGCCCAGGGTGCCCCTTGCTGTGTGAGGGCTCAGAGGGCGGGAGGGCCGGGTCCAGGCACGGCCTTGTTTGTGGCAGCCGCCCTGTGTCTGTACGACTCGATGTTGCAGATCGGGAGGGCCTGTCGGGAGGGGGCGACCCGGCAGCCCAGGGCATACGTCCCGCAGCCTGTGGAGACCCTGCCAGTGCTGTGATTGAGCGCCGGGGCACCGTGCCCTCGAGTGTGATGTGAGGGCTGGCCTTGTCCCCGAGGTGCCAGGCTCGTCCTCCCAGCACTTCGGTGAGGGCACAGCAGGCACCCCAGACTGCTGCTGCCCGGAGACACGGCCCTTTGTGACCGTCGGGTCTCTGGGCCCCCCGGCCCCCGTCTGCAGCTCCTGGCCGTCAGGCCCCTGGCCCTCCCCCCCAGAGCGCTGTTTGTGCGCTGGGGCCGAGCACCCCTTACCCCATGTTTTAGGCCTTTCCTGTGGCAGCTGCTCGCGGCAGGCCTGGCAGGTGGCTCAGGGTCCGTGGCCACCTGGTGCTGCCTGTGGGCCTGCGTCGCACTCTGCCGTGTCCCCTCCTGCCGGGGGGAGTCCCCATAGCCGGCTTTGGGGCAAGGTGGGTGCCCTGGGCCAGCCCGGAACCGCAGGGGGTCAGTGGGCTGTGGTGAATGCGCGAGGGGCTGTCAGGCTGAAGCCTCGCGTCTCCCCACATTTGCGTCGCAAGGGAGCCTGAGAACGTGCCTTTGCGGCCGACCCGGGCTAGAGGCTGTGGGAGGGACAGGACTGGCGTCGCAGGATGGCGTGGGCCCTGCTCCCCCGCCGAGCCGGCTCCGACAGGAAGCCAGTGGTCCTCAGGCCCCTGGCACGGCCCCGTCGCGGCCCGGGCATCAGGCAGGATGGGGCACCCCCTCCTGATTTTTCTGTTGGTCACCGAGGGTGCTGTCTGACTTGGTTTTCTTCTTAGTTCTGAAAGTCTGTCACCTGCTCCTGTGGGGATTCGAAGCAGAGCACGATGGCGTCTGCAGCTGCGGTGCCCGTGCCTGCTCCCCAGGTGGCGTGTCCCCAGCAGCGGCATGTTCTCAGCTTGCTGCCCTGGGCGAGGGCACGGCTCCCGTTACTTGAGTTCAGGGTCATTTTTATCCTTTTACTTCTGGGGTGAACTAGGTCCTTCCCCTGGCCCCCGACTGCCCTGGCCCTGCACCCCATGAGAGCATGTGGCCTGGCTGCCAAGGAGGGCGCCTGCGGGGATGGGGGAGAGGACAGGCAGATGTGAGCCCCCCCCAAGAGGGTGCGGGCCGCTCAGGGCTGGGGCAGGGGGTTACCGCACCCTGAGCGTCCATCTCCTTTGTGTGGGGACCACTTGGCAGGAGTGGTGGCCTCCGCTGTGTCCTGCTGACATTGTCCCCCACACCCGCTTTCCAGATTGTGTTCACTGCAGACCCTGCTGAGGGCGTGCCCGGTTCCATGGTGGGACCTGGGGTCTCTCAGTCCTACAAGGTAGGGGCTGCCTCCCGGGCAGGGAGCTCTGGGTGGGGGTCTCAGTCCTACAAGGTGGGGGCTGTCCCCAGGACATGGGATTCCTGGGCTGGGTCTCAGGGTATCTGTCCATTCTGTCCCTCCAGGTACATATCCACCCTGATGTCGGGCACCAGAGGAAGGCCCAGCGGTCAGATGCCTGGAACACCACAGCAGCCAGAAAGCAAGGTACGGTGTCCCTTGTTGGGGGAGGAAGGAACCCACTCCCCACTCCGCCTCGGCGCAGACGCGGGTCTCGCTGTGGGTCTCCAGGCCCCTGCCTGAGTGCACCCGCTCCAAGTGACCTTCCAGCTCATGCCTTGCCGGGGCCCTTGGAGACAGACTTCGGTGCGGGCCGACGGCCCAGAGCCTGCCCGGACTCACCTGCTGGGAGGCTGCCAAGCTGAGCTGTGGTCAGTGCCCCGCACGTGGGGCCTGCCTGCAGGGGGCCTGGGCACGTTCCCGTCACCCCGGGTGTGCTGCTTGAGTGCTGTCCCACCCAGCGGGCCCGGGAGGGGCGGGTTCGGGCCCCACAGTCGTGTCTGATGGCCCCCCAGGTTCCCGCGGTGCCGGTTCTCTTGGCCCCCCCTGTGAGGTCAGGCCTCGCCCCACATCATGCTCTCTCCATGTTGTTGGTCCTACCGGCTTCTGCATGTCCTAGAGCTGGGGCTGCTGTGACACAGGAGGGTGGGGTCTGTGCCAGACATCCTGTGGCTTTTAGTGTAGCTGGTCTTTTCCTGGCCAGGGTGTCTGTCCCCATGGTTTCTAGCCCTGGTGAGCGTCCTGGCCACCCCAGGCAGAGTTCAGCACTCGGTGCAACTTGGAGATTTTTGTTTTTGTTTTTTTAAAGATTTTATGTATTTGACAGACAGAGATCACAAGTAGGCAGAGAGACAGGCAGCGAGAGGAGGAAGCAGGCTCCCCACCGAGCAGAGAGCCCAGTGCGGGACTCGATCCCAGGACCCTGGGATCATGACCTGAGCCGAAGGCAGAGGCTTAACCCGCTGAGCCCCCCAGGCGCCCTGCAACTTGGCGTTTTGAGTGGGGTTTGCAGAATACATGTCGGGCAGTGGGTCCTGAGGTCAGCTGTGCCTCCTGTCCTGGCCACTCATCAGTGGTGGCGCAGCCCTGCCTGCCTGTGTTCCAGGCCTAACCCCCAGCCCCACCCACACACCCCTTCCAGACTTGCTGGCCGCAGCCCCTCTTGGAGCCATGCCCTTGCACAGGAAAAGCAGGGCTGGGAACACGGACAAGGCCAGCGCCAACCAAGGAGGCTCACAGCGTGATCTTGGCGGGTCACCAGCCTCTCAGAGCAGGAGGTAGCTTCTGTGAGAGCCGGGGAGGCCAGTGCACCCCTCACTCGTTAGTTGTGAGGTCACAGGAAGCGGTTCGTGCCAGCACCCGAGGCCTCTCCCTACATCTGAGTTCTCTCTCCATGGAACGTAGACATGGGCAGGGTGTGTAGGTCCCAAGGCCAAGTGGGGTGTGGCGTCCCATGTTCTGGGCAGCTCAGAGAGCATGTAAGTTCTCAGAAATAGCCGCTCCCTGGGCTGGACGTTTTTAGGAAGTTGGTTCCTTACTGACCTTACCGAGAAGCTAAGATGTGCGTGAGTGTGGGGAGGGCTGGCCCTGTCCCCGGGCCTTGCACAGAGAAGGGCCGGCTCCCCGCTCCCACAGCCTTCCCCGTCACAGGGCTGATCCTGACCCGAAGGTGGAAAAGGCTTTTCTGGCCCCAGAAAGTGGTTTGTTCTTTACTGGAAGTGTCCCTGCTGCCCCGTGAGCTAGCCTGGACTTTAGGCCCGTTTGAAGTCGTTCTGCTTGTGCTCTTGTGGTGCCCTAAGCTTCCAGAATCAGCCAGAAGCCAGTAGGAGACGGGCTCCTGGTGAACGTGGATGATGCCGCTGCCGGCGCCTGCCTCCGGCGAACGTGGGCTCCTGCTGCCTCTTTGGCGAGCGGAGGTTGGGGTCTGCTTTCTCCTCGTGTCCTTCGGCCAGTGGCCTGTGATGGCAGCCACCGTGCCTGTCCTTTGTGCCCCCAGCCACGTGTCCATCTCTGTGCAAGTCTGGGTTGGGGTTGGCCGTCCTTTCTAGAGGTGACGCCAGTGTCTGCCCCTGGGTGCCCGCTCTGGATCTGCTTCCACTCCCAGGACACCTGGGGCACTTGGCTCAAGGCTCAGGCAGGGCCCCCCTTGCTCAGACCTGTGTGTGTGGGCTGCCGGGCCCAGCGTGGCCAGCCCAGCCTCCCGCTCGTCCCACAGGGAAGGTTCTGAGCTACTGGTGCTTCAGCCCCGGCCACAGCATGCGAGAGCTGGTCCGCCAGGGCGTCCGCTCCGTCATCCTCACCAGCGGCACGCTGGCCCCCGTGTCCTCCTTGGCTCTGGAGATGCAGATGTAAGGGCTTCCCCAGGCCCTGTGGGGTGGGGGTCCCAAGGCCGGCCCCGGCTTGAGGATGCTGGGGCTCAGGACCTCACAGGGGCCGCCCTGCTGCTCCCAGCCCTTTCCCCGTCTGCCTGGAGAACCCACACGTCGTCAGCAAACAGCAGATCTGGGTGGGGATTGTCCCCAAAGGCCCCGACGGAGCCCAGCTGAGTTCTGCCTTTGACAGACGGTAGGGGGCCTGGTGGATGAGGAGGTGGGCAGGCTGTGGGCCACTCGCCCCTTGTGACCATGGGCTCTTGGCTTTGTGCAGGTTTTCAGATGTGTGCTTGTCCTCCCTGGGTAAGGCGCTAGGTGAGTGCCCGTGGGAAGCCCTGAGCTCCGTCTTGGGCTCCTACCCCATTCCGGGGTGCCTGGGGCTCCCTGCCAAGCCTGCTCTCCCTGTTGGGAACCACGGGCAGCCTCTGCAAACAGACACCCCTCCGGCTGAGCAGAGCCACGGCCCTTTCAGGCAACATCGCCCGCGTGGTCCCCCACGGGCTCCTGGTCTTCTTCCCTTCCTACCCCGTCATGGAGAAGAGCCTGGAGTTCTGGCGGGTGCGTCCCCCTTCTGTGTGTCCTGGGGCAGGAGGGGAGCCCCAAGCAGCCACGGGTCTGGCGGGGCTGGGTACGTGCCCTGCTCTGAGGTGTGACAGGCGCAACGGGCATCCCTTTCCCCATCTCTTCGCACAGGCTCATGACTTTGCCAGGAAGCTGGAGACCCTGAAGCCTGTGTTTGTGGAGCCGAGGAGCAAAGGTGGCTTCTCTGAGGTCTGAGCAATCGGGGCTCCGCGGCCCCTCGTGGCTACCCTGGGCTGCCCACTGTCCCTGACCAGCAGCTCTGGCGAGCGCTAGTCTCGCATGGACCTGACCTGTCTCCTCTCAGGAAGTTTGGGCCTGGGGGTGATGACCGCAGGCCCTGTGCCTGAGGGGCCGGCACTGAAGCGAGGCTCCCCCTTCCCTTACTCCCCAGCGCTGGGTCCCCCATGCTTTCTGGGAAACACTGAGCAGGCCCTGGGTCAGCCTGGGAACCTGTGCCGTGAGGAAGCTGCTGGAACCCTGCTGGCCCACCTCCCAGCCGGACAGCCTTTCATCTCAGGGGGTGAGACCTGGGGTCTCGCTCCCGCAAACGAAAGAGCTGACTAGTCTCTTCGTCCAGGTGGTGGACGCCTACTACAAACAAGTCGCTGCTCCTGGGTCCAGCGGGGCCTCTTTCCTGGCCGTGTGCCGGGGGAAGGTGAGGCCGCCAAGGGTCTGGGTCCCACACTCATTGGCCCGTCAGGTGCCTGTGTTGGGGGAAGCTCGCAGTGCGTGACCTGGGGCTGCGACATGGTGAGATGGGCCAGTCTGACCCTCTCCCCGGGGCCTCAAGTCCAGCAAGCATGTGTCGGGACGGTGTAGTTCTCTCGTCCCTCGCTGGGCAGTCGTCCCCAAGCAGTGGCTCTCGGCATTGGGAGTGAGCGCCCCTCTCGGGCTGCGGGTGGGAAGGATGGCGGGGGGTTCTGCGAGTGTGAGAGGCCCTGGGGGCTGTGAATCCCATGGAGGGCCTGGCCCAGGGTGGGAGGCTTCCCTCTCCCTGCCCACATGTGGGTTCCTGTGCCTCTGAGGCTCTGGGCATGGGCAGATGGGGGGAAAAGAGTGCCTACTACCCCCCAGGCCAGTGAGGGCCTGGACTTCGCGGACATGAATGGCCGAGGTGTGATTGTCACGGGCCTGCCGTACCCTCCACGCATGGACCCCCGAGTTGTTCTCAAGATGCAGTTCCTAGACGAGCTGAAGAGCCTTGGTGGGCCTGGAGGCCAGGTGAGGGGCCACAGGCTTATGTGGAGGTGGGTAGACGGGACTGGAGGCCTTGTGACCGAGCCCCCCACCCACCCATGACAGCTCCTCTCGGGGCACGAGTGGTACCGACAGCAGGCGTCCAGGGCTGTGAATCAGGCCATCGGGCGGGTGATCCGGCATCGCCATGACTACGGGGCCATCTTCCTCTGTGACCACAGGTGTGGCTCTCCCCGGCTTGCACAGGACCCTGCCCTGCGGCCTCTTGGTACCCGCCGGGCACCGGCTGGGTCTGGGCCTGGCTGGGGGGTGGGGTGGCGGGTGGAGCTCCCGAGCTGACCGCTGCTCCCGGCCAGGTTCACCCAGCCAGATGCCAGAGCCCAGCTGCCTTCCTGGGTGCGTCCCCACGTCAAGGTGTACGACAGTTTTGGCCACGTCATTCGGGACGTGGCCCAGTTCTTCCGTGCTGCTCAGAAAACAGTGAGTCCCTAACGCCCAGCTGGCCATATGCTCTCGCCCTCCCCGGGGAAGGGTCTGTGCGGGACCCTCACCTCCCCGTGCCTGTGCAGACGCCTGTGCCGGCTCCACTGCTCGCTGCCCCGAGTCTGGATGAGGGACAAGGTGCTGTCTCAGCAGCCATGTCGCCTGGCCCCCTCTCCACCAGGAAAGCCAAGAGTCTGGACGTGCATGTCCCCAGCCTGAGGCGGAGACCCACAGGTGTGTGTGCCTGGGTGACATGGCAGGTGGGGGGCCCTGGAGGGCGGGGGCCTGGGGCTGGTGGCACTCCAGCCGGCTGGTGGCACTTGTGGCCCAATGACCAGAGTGCCTGGCTGAGCCCGAGTTGCTGGCGGCAGGGGGGGACCGGACTTGAACCACGCCCCCCGCCACCGGCTCTCCTGCTGATGCCCGTGCCCACGCAGGATCGCCAGCCACGGGGGACACCGAGAGCAGCCTGTGTGTGGAGTACGAGCGGGCGCAGGGCCTCACGCAGCCGAGGCCTGTGGGACTGCTGGCCGCCCTAGAGCGCAGCGAGCAGCTGGCCGGGGGACCTGCGGACGAGGCCTCCCCCGGGGAGGAGGAGGTGCGGGGGCTCCAGAGACGGGCACAGCCCCCCAACTCTGCCACCTCCTGGCCATGCTGCGCACCTGCCCTGCTCCCAGCTGTCAGCTGGGGCTCCCCCTATGCGGCCCTGTGGGCTCTTCAGGACTTGACATGGGCCGGTCTCTGTCCGGCTCCTGCCGCACCAGGGACCCACCCTTTCTGGGGCCCTGAGCCGTCAGGGGACACAGCTGCTCAGCCAGAGCCTTCACTCTGGCCGGACCTAAAGCTCCCTGCCCCTCCCTGTCTCCTGGGCCCTGGGTGAGCCCAGCCTCAGCAGGAGTTGTAGCCCTCCCCCCTTGCCCTCCACGCCCTCCAGTCCCTGGTAACAGCTGGCGCCTGAGCCTGCGACCCGCAAAGGGGGGCTAGTGGTGCTGACTCAGGAGAGGGCCCTTCTCCCCAGCTGTGGGCCCCTGCAGTGTCCCAGGGGGGCTCGGGGGGCTCGGAGGGCGTGGCCGGGACCACAGTGTGTCACCCTCAGGCACAAGACCTCTCCGCTGTGTGCGTCCCCTGCACCAAGAGGCCTGCGCAGGAACAGAGAGCAGGCAGGAGGAAGATCAGGGTGGTCGGTGGCCACCAGGTACGGGAGCCAGTGGCACGCATGTGGGACGGGGTGGGGGGCAGGAACCACAGGCTGCCTGGCTCCCCACACTGGCCCTGGAGCGTGTGGCGGGGGCCTCCTTGCTACCTTCCCGGGGCACAGTGAGGCCCCGTGCCCTTGGCTCCCCAAGGCCCGCACCGCCCCCGCCTCTGGCTGGAACGTGCAAACGAGCCTCTTGTCAGCCTCCTCTCTTCCGGCTGAGCCTGTCCCTGCGGCTCCCAGGGCCTCCTTCCGCCCCGTGGTCTCCTGCTGCTCCCGGCATCTGGGCGGCTCCGTGCCAGGGTCCCGCCGCCCAGGCTCCGAGTCTGTCTTTCACTCGGTTTGTCTAGGGAGCATTTCAGAGCCCCGTGGAGCTCTCAGCAGCAGCCTGTGCCCAGCCGAGTAGCACTGCCCTGTCTGACCTTCACGTTGCCGGGCGCCACGGCGTGTCCCCGAGCTGCGGGGGCTCCCCGTGCTTTTGAGGCCCACACGCTTGTGCTCAGCTTCAGGCCTCGCATCTGGTGTTGCTTTTCCGGGAGAGTGCTTTTTGGGTGGCATGCCTGCGTCCGGCACAGAGGTCAGGCCCTGGCCCTTAGGCAGGTTTGGCGTGGGGCCGGCAGCCGGGCCAGCCCCCCGCCCATCGGCGCTCACGTGTGGCTGCTGACGTGCCCCGCTGTGGGGAGGGTCTGCTTCCCAGCCACCTCCGAGGAAAGCACTGAAGGGCTAGTGAGTTAGTCCGAGCCGGGAAAGCTCTGGAAAGCCCCTTGCAGCACTTGCTTTGTCCATGTTCCTTGGCTTCTGGGAAGAACTGGGCAGGGCCGGGAGGGGCACTGCTGTCGGGAAGTGGGCAGGGTGCCAGGAGCCTTGGCATCGGGCCTGGACCCCTCCTTCCTGTTTTCCGGGCTTCCTTGCTGAGGGTTCCACGTCGGGGCACAGAGGAGGCTCAGGGATGTGTGAAGGCCCCCGTAGTCACCGAGTACCCCTTTCAGTGAGCTGACTGACCCCGAGCCGGGGCTGTGTGCCACGTAGGCGCAGGGGCGCTTGGCAGAGGAGCTGGAGGCCCTGGCCTTCGGGGGCAGGTCCACGCGTGGCCTCTGCTGCTCCCTGAGGGGCGTGGCTGTGTTCAACCGAAGCCGCCCGATCCCTGGCCTCCCAGCTGGGCCCCGGAACTGGGGCACCCTTCTCAGCAGTCGCTCTTTGCGCTAGTGGCGGCCCCTCGGGAAGCACCGCAGCCCCGCCTGATGGGCCGTCTGTCCTGTGTCCGGCAGGAGGGCCCGGCCGCCGGTGCGCAGACAGGCAGAGCCAGGCTGTTCATGGTGGCCGTGAAGCAGGCACTGAGCCCGGCCGGCTTCCACACCTTCACCAGGGCCCTGCAGGACTACAAGGGCTCTGACGACCTGGAGGCCTTGCTGGCCTGCCTCAGCCCACTCCTTGCTGAGGACCCCGAGAAGCACAGCCTACTCCAAGGTGCCCTGGGGGGCAGCACCACAGCTGTTGGGGGGGGCAGCAGGGTCTGCGGTGGTCCCTGCTCTCTAGAGAAGGTGGGGCCGGGTGGCCCATGATCCCAGACCCCCCCAGCTCAGCACGGTAGAGCCCGTAGGCCCAGACGCCCCTCCCCACAGGCTTCTACCAGTTCGTGCGGCCGCACCACAAGCAGCGATTTGAGGAGCTGTGCCTCCAGCGGACGGGCCACGGCTGTAGCTCCCAGCCTGAGCTCAGCCTTCCTCAGAGGCCGTGGGCCCCGGCGGCGCAGACCCCCAGCGGTGAGCCGGGCCCTCAAACCCATCCCCCGAGAGCAGGGTGGGCAACTGCTCGTGGGTCTCCCCCCGCCCCCCGCCCCAGTACGTGCGGCCCAGGCCCAGCCCTTCGTGAGTCTCACAGTCACGCTGGGACGGCACCTCTAGAGCCTGGGAGCTCCTGTCCCCATTCAATGGCTGAATCCTGAGCAGGGACTTTCTCAAGGACAGGTGTCATGGGGACCTGGCTTAGACCGCTTTGCCCCCAGGAGGGGACTTCCAGTCTGCGAGTCACCTGTCTCCCTTCTGGGCTTGGTGTCCACTGGGGTGTGTGTCTGCCGGCCCCCTACCAGCAGTTGGCTCTGGTTTGGGTCCCGCTTCTGTGGTCTGAGGACGATTGTGGGTCTCAGTCTTCCCTTGGACGGACCTGCCTTCTCCTGGGGAGGCACTCCAGACCCTCGGGGCCCCAGCTGGATAGCTCCTTGTGTGTCTGTGTGCCTTCAGGAGGGAAGGAGTGTGACCCCAAGCTGACCCTGGCTCGGGGTGCAGGACAGCTGGACCCTGGACAGCACCTGAACCAAGGCAGGCCCCACCGGGTCCCCAGACCAGCCCCCGCAGGTACCAGTCCCTGAACCAGAAACAGAACTGCAGACCCTCGTGGGGGGCATACTGGTTCTGCAGCGGTTCCCAGGAGCGCTCTGGGCCCCCAGACCCCTGGCGTGGTCTAAGACCTGTTACCTGCTCACCAGGAGACCCCAGCAGCCGTCCAAAGGAGGGGCCTAGAGCCCCCGGGGCAGAGAAGCAAGGCCCGCCTGCTGTGAGCGCCTACTTGGCAGATGTCCGGAAGGCCCTGGGGTCCGCAGGCCACAGCCAGCTCCTGGCGGCACTGACCACGTACAAACAGGACAGTGACTTCGAGAAGGTGGTGGCTGTGGTGGCCGCACTCACAACGTCCAGGCCTGAGGACTTGCCCCTGTTGCAAAGCAAGTGGCCGCAGAGGGAGTTTGGCGGGAGGAGGTGGGGGAGGGGAGTGGGGGTGGGGCTGATCCCGACCCCCCCACCCCTGCAGGGTTTGGCATGTTCCTGAGACCCCACCACAAGCAGCGTTTCCGGCAGACGTGCGCCGATCTGATGGGCCTGGCTGCCCCGAGCGCAGGTACTGGGGTGCCAGGCCCCCAGGAGGCAAGCCCCAGCGTGCCCCCCAACCTCGCCCACAGCGCTTCCAAGCCAGGTAACCGAGCGTCCCCCAGCCCCACTCAGCCCGGCAGGCGGAACCGCAGAGAAGCCCGTCAGACTGGCTCGTCTGTCCCCAGGTGCCCCTCAGTGCGAGAAGCGTGGGACGACCCCGAGCAAGATTTCCGCCTTCCTCATGCCCAGCCGGCCCCCCAGCGCCCCGCTCAGGCACGCCCCGTCTGAGTGGGGTAGGTCCCGGGAGGGGCCGCCGGGGATGCCGGCTGCGGGGGTGGGGGTGGGGTGGGGCGGACGAGCCGCGCGAGCTCACGGCGGCCCCCTTGCCGCAGGCTCGGCCTGCCCTGGCTGTGGGGCGGAGGACACGGTCCCCTTCCAGTGCCCCTCCTGCGACTTCCACCGCTGCCAGGCCTGCTGGCGTCAGCTCCTCCAGGTTGGCAGTGGGGCCTGCAGACCTCCGGCAGCTGTCCCCAACCTGGTCGCCCGGGGTGTGGGGGGGCGGTCTGGGCAGCGGCGTCTGGGCAGCACTCCGGTGTCTCCACAGGCTTCTAGAACATGCCCGGCCTGTCACGCCCCCGCCCGGAAGCAGAGCATCACGCAGGTCTTCTGGCCAGAGCCCCAGTGAGTGTGGAGACCCCGGGGCCGGCTGACAACCCTGTGGACATGGGCCTCTCCACGGGGCCTGCGCTCACCTAGATGCCCTGAAGCCCCCCCGCCCAGGGTCTGGGGCGGGTTGGCTCACCTCCTGGGCCTGTGGGCTGGTGGGTGGAGCGTCCGGAGCTCCGCTGCTGAGTCCCGAGCCCAGGACAGGAAGCTGGGGGCTGTGTGCCCCCGCTTCCTCTGCAGGCCCAGTGTGTGGGCAGTGGACCTGCTTTTAATCAGATGACCAGCTGCCTAATAAAGTCACTGACACTGTATCAGGGTCTGGCGAGGGGCCTGAGGGTGCTGGGAAGGAAGATGTGAGCACCTGAGTGGGGTCCCCCCCCACCTTGTCGGCGCATGGGCATGCTGGGGCACCGCCGGCTGGGCGGATGCAGGACACCGGAGGGGAGCAGGGCCTGGGGCTCCCCAGCGGATCTGGTGTGGGGAGCGCCTCCCAGGCCCGGTCCTAGACTCTGTTTCGAAGCAGGCTGGCGCCGGCCGAGAATAAAAGGGGCTTTCTGGGGAGGGAGGGGCCGTGGGGGTGGTGATGTGGCTGAGAACCGGGACACGCAGGCCGCTTGGAGGTGATGAGCCCTCCCCCAAGGGCGTGACAAGGCCAGTCTATATAGGCCACCACTGCACTCCAAGTCTGAGTGTGGGGCGGCAGTGGCTAGGGGGGGCTGCCGGTGGCTGGGCACGCCGTCCCAGTGTCCCCACCGCTTGGCGCTGCGGGAGGCCGAGCCGCTGCCCCAGGGAGGGCCATGGGGACACTGGAGAGGTGGGGCCCGCCGCCCCTGACCCTGCTGCGGGCACTGCCCACCCTGCTGCTGGCTCTGGCCGCACACGCAGTGGGTGAGCTCACCTACCCGTGGCGGGACGTGGAGACTCAGGAGTGGCTCGTGTGTGGCCAGTGCCCCCCAGGCACCTTCGTGCAGCGGCCATGCCGCCGGGACAGCCCCACGATGTGCGGCCCGTGCCCTCCGCGTCACTACACCCAGTTCTGGAACTACCTGGAGCGCTGCCGCTACTGCAACGTCATTTGTGGGGAGCGTGAGGAGGAGGCGCGGCCCTGCCAGGCCACTCACAACCGCGCCTGCCGCTGCCGTGCCGGCTTCTTCGCACACGCCGGCTTCTGCCTGGAGCACGCGCCTTGCCCGCCTGGCACCGGCGTGGCTGTCCCCGGTGGGCAGCGGGACTGGACGGGGTGGCGGCGGCCCAGGATGTTTGCTGCCACGGAGGACAGCAGCCCAGTTTCCCCTGACCCCTTCCTCCTCTCTCGTCCCCAGGAACCCCCAGCCAGAACACGCAGTGCCAGCCGTGTCCCCCTGGCACCTTCTCGGCCAGCAGCTCCCACTCAGAGCCGTGCCAGCCCCACCGCAACTGCACCGCCCTGGGCCTGGTCCTCAACGTGCCAGGCTCCTCCTCTCATGATGCCCTGTGCACCAGCTGCACGGGCTTCACGCTCAGCACCATGGCGCCCGGGGGGCCAGGTGAGCGGGGCGGGGGGAGTGGGGAGTGGCAGGGAAACAGGGTGGGGGGCGGATGATCCCCTCCCCCACCCTGGAGGGAATGGAGTCCCAGGGAGTAAACTGCTTTCCCAAGGTCACACAGCAGTGCTGTGGCATCTCAACCCCACACCCCGGGGCCCCCGGGGTTCCACTCACGGGCAGGGACTTCCCTTGCTGGGTGTCCCCCAGGGCACGTGGAGGCCCTCACTACTGCGTCCCAACTCCCCCGCAGGGGCTGAAGAGTGTGAGCGAGCGGTCATCGACTTCGTGGCTTTCCAGGACATGTCCTCCAAGAAGCTCGTGCGCCTGTGGCAGGCGCTGGTGGGCCCGGAGGCCCGGGGTCCCGCGGCCCCGAGGGAGGGCCGTGCGGAGCTGCAGCTGAGGCTGTGGCGGCAGCTCATGGAGCTCCGGGATGCGCGGCCTGGGGCGCTAGGGGTGCGGCTGCTGCGGGCGCTGCGCGAGGCCAGGCTGCCTGGACTGGAGCGCAGTGTCCGCACACGCTTCTGGGTGCACTGAGCCCCTGCCCCTATTTATTCTCCCAAGCTTTGGGGCCACGTGGCACCACGCCCACGGCAGGCACCGCAGTACTCTCAGCCGAGCTTCTAGGCTCCTGCTGCACTAACAAGGTTTATTTTTATGAAGCTGTTTGTACAACGTCGTGTGAGCCTGTGTGTGTCTACACGGTGCGCAGCGGGCACGTCTGGTGGGGACGCCAACCCCCCCCCCAAGCACTCTCAAGCTCCACGCACTTCCTCTGGCTGCTGATCACCCCAAATGAACAGACCCTCGGTGGGAGGGAGCGTTAGAGACGGCCAGCAGGTAGCAAGTGTGTCCCTTCCAGCTGTGGGCACCGTGGCGACCCCGAGGCTCATTCCGTGACCCCCTAGGTCATGCTTGTCTGCGACAGTATGGAGGGAGGGCACCCCCAGTATAGGGCTCTTGCAGTGAACAGGACCCAGCTTGGCCCGGGCAGCAGAAGCCCATGCCCTGGGCCGCCAGGACACCCGCCCCACCCCTCCACCACTTGAACTCCATCCAGTCCCAGGACACAGGGGATTTCCCAGGAGGGAAGGCTGAGTGCGACCCACCACCTTTTCTGGGAAGCAGGGCTTTTCCCCTCAGGCAGGCTCAGAGAAAGGCTGGACTACACCAGGGGCAGCCTGGGGAACTCCCAGCCTGTCCCATGGGCCCTGGAGCCCTGTGGCTGCCCCCCCCCCCCCCCCCCCCCCCCCC